CGCTGCCAGAAAAAGTCCTATCTGGGAGGGTAGTTGCTCCCATTCACACTCGAATCCTGCAGGCCTTAACTGCCCCAATCATGGACCTTCGAAAATGCGGGGCTTGAGAGTGTCTTGGACATGAGCACAATAAATGCACCGTGAACCGGGAAGCCCTTAGAAAGGCTTGACGCGTCTGAAGCGCAACAAACGACGCTGGACAGGTGCATGAGCACCTTGCTCCACGCGTGGTGCAGAGCATGAGCGGTGGGGCGCTTTCCTTTCGCCACCTGGCGGCATTCCTTTGGGGACCCATGGCAAGCCTTCCCCCAAAAGCCTCGGAAGGCTCGGGGTTTGTAGCTGTGTAGGGAATGCTTGACAGACAGGTCGACCGCTGTGAAGCGCGCACTAGTATGGAGATAGGTACCCACCCCAAGACTGCTCAAAGCGAGCCAAAACCAAGCCGAGCCGAAAGACAAGCATGATGATAGAGCACATGAGCATATGGGAATGCAAATGCTGCTGACGTCTCACCCTGGCCTGCACGGTATCGCGCGCGGACCTTCTGTGGTGGGAGCGCGGATTCTAGGAGCGAGAAAAGCACCCTTGCCCATAAGCTCTAAACCAAGGTCAAGCATGATCCTGACAAGCTCATATAAGTGAGCTCTCCGTGATTCAGTCAGCCAGGTTTTGCATTCTGACCCCTGCGAAAGCCCAGAACAAAGTCATCAAATTGTGTTGCTCGCAACAGCATCACCTTGAGAGGGGGGCAGTCCCAAAGCTGCCTAGCTTTTTGACCTTAGACCTCGGGCACCCTAAACCCAGCGCATCTAGCGCGTTGACCCGTTTTAATCCTATAAGCCTCAAGGAGCCTCGGACCTGAACAGAACAGAACTCTGCATGTTTCAGCAAAGGCTAGGCAAAGGCTAGGCACCAGGCCCCCCCCCCCCCCCCATAAACTACCAAGTAGACGCTCGAATGTTTTACTGTGCGTGAACAGCAACCCCATGCGTAGAAAAGCAGGATCACCAGTACACTACGAGTAGACCTTGCAGATCAAGCAGTCTCATTCAGGCAAGCCTCGAAACACGAAGACTCCCACAAACCTAGTGGTCGTTGAGTTTTGTTGTTGGGAAGCTCTCGCGTTTCTGCGTTGGGCTTGGAGACGATGAAGCAATTTTGGGAGCTCTGGGGAACTGGGACTGACAGCTGAAGTTCACCTTGCCTCTCCGGTTTCGAAGCTGCTAAGCTTGGCGTTTGGGTTGGCAAGATCAAGGGTTTAGGCGCATGTCGGGTGCACAGTGCTGCATCGTGAGGCTGTCGGATACCCCACAACCCCCCTTAAGGGATTGGGCCGCTGCTGCTCTGACACCAGGCTACACGGTCTACATGGTTGGCGCCTGTGGCGTGCCTTTCCTCTCCAACATCATTCCGCTGTGCATCGCAGCTGAGCTGCACCGCCGGTGGAAATTGGCCGACCTTCAACATCCCTCAACCTGCAAGCCAGTTTATGCAGCCTGCACCCCAACCATTCCGAATCGTCAACTTCCAAGCATGCTTATCTTCGACATTATGCATGCCTGCGACAATCAAAATCCGAAATGCCCGAGCTGAAACCCTCATTGCGACAATATTCATCAGCGCCCTTCAACTGAAACCGAAAGACCACACCCCAACCTGACCTAAATCCCTAGGGTTCCCCGGCTCCAGGAGTGCTATCCCCAAACCTCAAAACTGTCTCCCTCTCACATACTCCGTATGTGTGCACGTACGTGTGTATGCTTCCATCTGCGTACGTAGCTAGGTAATTTGGCATATATGCGTGTGCCAGCTGCCCAAACTTCGTGTCAATACGAAGCGCCCAGCAGCCCGAGCAAGATGAGCGACATGAATCGCGGAGGAGCCTGATTAGTCCTCTTTTTGGCCCTGCCCCAACAAGCTTTTGGACATGCTTGTTGTGATCCTGAGAGGACCTGTGCTCCTGGGACGAGGTGCGCAGCAAGGTGCGCCCTGCTGCCATGCTATTGCACCGAACATTCGGACGCACATGATGCCAAGCTGTAGCCCTGGTATCCAAGTCACTGCTCAAGACTCACGGAGCAGGACTTTCGCAATCTATTGAAATCAGAGCCCATTCCGATATCATCCTACAGGAGTACGACAGCGCCCCAGCCACCAGTTGTTGTGAAGACATGACCCCGCATTCTGCACGTTTTCGACGTGTTGCACCGAGTCAGAAATGTGCGATTGCTGTCAACTCCGCAACAGCATGCACTGCAGGTCACAACACATTGAGGCCGCCGGGGAAGTGTTCCTGCTTATGAGCAGTTGCACGTTCTTCCGGTTAAGCATAGTGTGTATAGGATGTGAGATGAGGCCGCCGGGGGAAGTGTTCCTGCTGACGAGCAGTTGCACGTTCTTCCGGCTAAGTGTGTATAGGATGTGAGCTGTAGGGAAGGGAAGAACTTCAAGGACCCAGCGGTTGCCTTCGAAGATGGACATCGTTGGGTTGTTCTGTTGATTGTTTGTGTTGGTCACAGAGCAGCTTGTCTTCCAGCAGCATCAACAGCAATTCATGGTTTCTAAGCGTTGGAATCCACATTTCCCCAGTTTCTGACAAGTCCGCCTTAAGTGTCCCTTCCGCCCTCTTTGTCTTCCTCAGCTCCGTACCTGACCAGGCAGGAGCGACAAGCCTGTCACCAAGTTCAAGGCTTTTCTTGCGAAGCCTTGCGTCAGCGAGCGCCGCGCACCATCAACTGTGATTGGCACTGGGCAGGCAGATGACTTCATCGAAGCCTTTTCGACTTTTCGCTTCACGGCCGGCGGCCCAGGGTCTTTGGCACTGTGTTTGGCTCACTTGCCCTTGCCCTGAGGGGATGGGGGGAAGGTCCATGCATCGTTGCTATAGGATAAGCAAAAGAAGCAAGAAACACCACGCACTCAATCATGTGATTTGTGCGCCAAGCATCGCCCCCAGCTCCCGGCCTCCCCAGTTTTGTCTTTCGTTGGGCGTGTCTTGCAAATCTGTTGGGCACATGCGCCAAGACCGAAGAGGAGGTCGCGCGTCACGCTCCGCCGGGCATGGTGGTCATCTTCCGAGCCACGGCCTCATTTCGCGCTTCTGCCCCTGTGCAAGCTTCACGCAGTTATTTCCTCAACTGAGCGCGCCATGTATCCCTAGCTATAGTGACCTCTTGGCCCTAAGTTTACCATGTTTTACACTGTTTGTCCCGGGAAGCGTGATACAGGGAAACTCCCGAGCGTTTACACATTAACTCTTTCCATGAGATGCACTCAGGAAGACAGTGTCGAAGTTTGTCTCTCAGCTTTCGACAGTCATGTACAAGACTGTGAGCAACCTCCTCATGCGTAACTCTAGGCTGTGAGCTGGGAGAGTGCGCGAGTCTGCGAGCACGCCCCAGAAGCTTCGCGAGGGCTCGAAGGTTGCCGGGTTGAAGCGCCATGCCCCTGTCACAGCCGGGAGGTACTACCGATCAAAAGGAGCTATGTGGCCTATCAGCAAAGGCGACAAAGAGGAAAAGGGAAAGTTCAAGGACCGGACAGCCCTAGGATTGTTACATCCTGTTGCTCTTTCAGATCGCCGCTCCCTAAACATGTCGTCGTTTTGCCTTCGTTTCCTCCATACGGCTCTGAGGAAGGAAGCGGCAAGGGCAAGGGAAAGTCCAAAGGCCTCCGCTGTTTGCATCAACAGGCTTCGCACTGATGCCATGACTGAGACAAGCAGCAATCCCTCACAGATCGCGACTATTGCAGGCGCGGGAATGAACAAGAGAAGGAGCAAGAAAGAGAGCCTCACGGCCTGATATAGCCAGCTTTGGAAAGCCTCAGGTTCTAAACCCGAGAAGCCGGGCCCGCACATGCTCGAACTCCAACCTGTGAAGCTCAGGCAGATACGGCAAGGGCAACAGCTCCGAGCGAGTCTTCTCAAGCAAAGGCCCGGGTCCGCAGGGGGTGGACGTGGGGAAACAGGAGATGGAGTAGCGGGCATGAAGGGACGAGAGCGGGACAGGGAAAGGGGGTGGATAGGGGGAGGATCTTCTCTGTGTTCTGCGTCTTCGGTCTGCCGAGGACACTGAGCTTCGCCGAGTGCTCGGAGGCAGCATGGGGCTGAGCATCACGCTGTTGCTCTCAAGATGCTCAACGCCGCCAGCCTTGGATGTAACACGTTGCAACTGCAGTGAGTTATACTCCTTTCCCGCACTCTTCAGTGCCGATGACTCTAGAAGCAAAGCTTACACCCCAGATGACATGTAGATCCCCTCTTGTCATTGGGGTGGGGGAAGTGAGGTGTTCTTTTCCATTTCGTGGATCGATTTTCTGTCAAACTCGAAGCTCGGCTGAATCCCAAAACTCGAAAGCATGATAGACTTTGGAGGTTCAGATCTTTGGCAAGACCAGAACCCCCCCACACCCCTCGATTCTCAATCCTGGACCTCTGCGCTGCCAGAAGCTCGCTTCAGCTCTCTTTCACCTCAGCTGCCCGTGGTGGTCTTTTGGTTGGAGTGTCTGCTGTTGAAAGAAAGCAGAAAGTCTCCCAAAGCGAGGAGTAGTCAACGAACTCAGCAGAAGTTTCGATCTGAGGATTAGGTGCGTGGAGCTTGCCCTTCATGATAAAGTCCGTCACCCAAGTTCCAGCCATCACCACGCCCCCCCCGTCCAACCAGAAATGCACTCGCTGGCAGCTGGCACAAACGAATGAAGGTCTTCGCTTCGTTGTGCTTTGAGGTGTGATATGCTGAACTTCCGCAGTCATCTGATCTGAGTGACGCCGCCATGACTTTTGGCGAATTCAGCGCAGGCGAGGGTCCACTGGCAGGCAGAGTGTAATGAGCCAGCATTTCCAAAAATAGATGTGCGGCATAACTGGTTCGGAGCCTGCCGCGTGCCCTACATGGCGGTTGGCCCCTAATGTGGGCAGGCGATGGTTGAGCATCCCTTGCTTCATGTAGACCCGAGCTTCAATCTCGGACCCACTCAACCCGGAGTTGCTCGTTGTGGGGATGTTCTTCCAGCTGAACAGCCCACTCTTTCAAAGAGGACAGACCGGTGGCCAACTGCATTTTTACGTCGGTGTTTGTTTCACTCTCCATAGAAATATTGCCGCAAGACAACGAGCCACGACAATCTTTGGGTTCCTTCGCTATGGAAAAAAGGCCTCTGCTCCACAGTACAAGGCGACTCCTTCGGATCCCCGTCCGGTGCAACTCTAGCTTGCGTCTGGAGCTACATGCGGCCATGAGTTTGGGGAATTGTAATATATTGAAAATTATTTGATAGGTCGTATGCCGAGGTCGAGGGGTCGAGGTTTCGCTAGGGTAGGTAATGTGGAATTAATATGTATTTTTCGTATTCTTCGTTCGGGTACTGTAGGTATGGGTATACGTTTGTATAGGCAGGGAGGTAGGTAGGCTTAGGCATACAATAGGCTTGTAATATATTGACTCAAAATGTAGGCATTGTAGGCCTTTCTAAGCCTTGAGTGATTCTACGTCCCGAGGCACAGTTCCGCTCCGGGCTGCGGGGCTACGCGCTCCTGGCCTGGACTTTGCGCCAGCTCATGGCCCGGGCCCTATTAGCGCTTTATGCGGGTGCTGTTAAGGGCGGCTGCTTAAGGGGCTGCTTAGAGCTGTAAGTGAGTAATTGTGCTATAAGGGTTACAAGTAAAAAGCGCCAGTGTAAGGGTTAGCCGTTATATAAGAAATTGTGCGAGGATCTTTTGTTGCCATTGATTATATATCAAGGTTCGGTACGAGCTGGGGGGCTTTGGGCCTAAACAAACATGGGCTCGTGCAAATAAAACATGTCGGTTGCAGGTTTTACGGGCTCTAACGCGGCTGCACAGCGCATTATAAGGGTTCTCTAGCAGTTCTGCACGGTCTCAGAAGGCTTTGTTGTGGCTTTTTTGTGGACTCCATGCAGGAGCCCGTAATTGCAGGTAACAGAACTGAACGGGTTCATAGCTGTTGCACGGTGTTACCGTACGTAGGAGTAAGGACCTTTGGTTCACAGTGCCATCAAAAGGAAAACCTGTCGGCATATCGTTTGCTGGATTGCTCTTGTAGTCACTTAAAGTACGTTTCCTGACCAGTTCCCAAGAAATAATCGGACCAATCGGAGTCCATTCTTGTGGCTTTTTGGGTGCGGAGGGTTTTTCGCAGGGAGGCGTTCTTTGTCTTGTTGAAGGATGTTGGCGGTCGGGTGGGTTTCGGGACAGTTGCATTGCGGAGGACTGGGGCATCGTGAGCGTGGCCAGCGTCTTCGCAGTTCGCATCGCCGTGGAGCTCTGGAAGCTGGGCCTCTCCCTGGAGAAGCATCCGAGGCCAGACCTCGCCTGGGATGGAGACGAAAAAGGGACGGTTGAAATGGGCGCCCTAGGAGGATCCCAGGCCGCATGCCGGAGAAGGTGGAGAGCGATGAAGGGGGATGACCTAAAGTTTTGGAGTTCAGAATTTGCTAAACAGCCCCTATAGACCCTGAACCCCTACGCCCAAGCCTTTTCAAAAGAAGCCCGCGGTCGAGGACGGCAAGGCCTCTAGCAAGATATGCAAGATAGACCCCCCTTTAACCTGAAACCCGATATTCCAAAACGCTAAACCCCAGGTCAGCCGGAAACCCGAGGACCCTAAAGGCCTGCTGAACCTCCCTAAACCGTGTATACCCTAACTCCCGGAACCTCATAAACCCTTGACGCCCTTCTTTTGGGAGATTCCCGATCTGACGCAGCAGGTGCCAACTCTTTCGATCCCGAGTCTTGCTGGTGGCCCTCTTGGCTCCCAAGCTTTGCGGGGTTTAGGGTTTAGGGTCCTAAACCCTGAAACCTAAACCCTGAACCCTTTCAGGGGTGGGTTCAGGATAGCAGGTCTTCGGATGTAGGGAGCTTAGGAGTTTAAGGTATCGGCGGTTTGGGGGTGCTAGATGGGTTTTGGGATTCATGATAGGAGTCCTACAGGATTGTCTGTTAGGCGTTTAGGATTTAAGATAATGGAGTTGACGTCAGGATTTAGATTGTAGGGTGCTTGTACTACAGTGTTTAGGATAGTGCATTGAATGGGTTGTACGTGCTCGGGTTGGTGGGTCAGGAGGTTGGTGGGTCAGGATAGGGTGGTTCGGGTCGAGGTTGGCCTGGGGTTTCCGCAATTTTTACTCATAATGCAGTGTTTCAGGAGCCTCCGGGGACGACTTAAGTCGTAGCCGAAGCCCCTGAATCCTGAACCGCGAATCCGTAAACCCGAAGCCCCCCCCCCCCCCTCGAGCACTAAATGTTTCAAACCCCGCGAAGAACTCTTAAACCCTTCAACCCTAAAGCCCCCGACCCCCCCCGCCCGTGGGCCAAAACCAACAACAGCAACAGCCGCTCATCGCCAGCCTCGGCCCTAAGCCCTAAACCCTCCGAGGTTCCCTGCGAACTCGCCCTGGTCTCTCTCTGCTGGTCATCCTTTGCCTATTGCCTGGCCATCACTAGCGGCTTGACCTGGCCTTCGGTGGTTCTGGGCTTAAGGGCTATGCATGGGATATATATACACGTATATAAGTCATAGCCGGGACCATCTACACACATAATACTCTGTACATGCATATCACATAGTTTGGGCTTGAATCTTGGGGCTTGAGCATGTAGGTGTCGGGGTTAAGGGGAGGTTTTGAATTGGGTGCTGCCGTGAATCCGACCCTTAAAAGCTAAATGCAAGGCCCCTAAGTCTTGAGCCCGGAATGATTTATCCTCATGGATACACGCTCTCACTCTCACGGCTTCTTCACTGGCGGCTCCAGTGTATTATGATATATGTTTGGGTTAGCTACTTGTCTTGTTTTCGACATTGAAGGGTTTTGTGCTAACGTTTTTGTGCTGTGCTTCTAAGTGCACGACCCGAATCTGTACAAATCTCTATGCCTTGAGCTAATGAAGTCCAAAAGAAAAATTCAAGATGAAAGGTGCAAGCGCTTTGCCAAACCGCGTAAGTCGTACAGCCTAGGTCCTAGCAATGCCCAGCGTCTCCAGCAAAACGAGAAGCGAGCACGCAGACGAAAGTAGCGCCGCACTTTATGGCACAAACAGCTTGCAAGTCACTCTCGAAAGCTTGCACTCGCAGAGCAGCTGTCAAGATGATGCTAAACGACGACACCCATGAGCCGCCCTGCCGTAAACTTGGCACATGTGCCAAGTTTACGAGTCATCAAAGCAACTTGGTCTTTAAGAGCCTCCACAAGTCGTCCATCATAGCATGCGTGCGAAGAATCCCAGCGTCTGCTGAGCCGTGCGACAGCAGGCTGCGGTCACTGGCTATTGGCCCCCCGCTGCTGGGGAGTTTGACCCCGGACCCTAATAAGAAACCATCAATATGTGCAATATATATATATATATATGTATAGACACATGCTTTATTGTTAAATGCACATCCTTGTTTTATGTCATATATATACATACATATATATGTATATATATTGTGTATGTATATATATATATATATATGTATACATGTATGTATATATATATATATATATGTATGTGTGTGTGCTATTGTGGCTTATGTCCAGTCGCTTCGATACCACGGGATCTTGCAGCGAAGGTGAGACGAGCCTGCTGCCGGCCCTCCCCTTCGTCCTGGACGTTGCGGCCGCTTGGGCTCTTCGGGGATTCCCACGGTTTTGGGATCCGAAGTTCAGGGGGGATGTGTAATACAGAGGGGGCCGTGATAATTAAGGTAGGCCTTGGGAGTATGCTAGACTACAATGAATGATAGTACGCAACCCCCCAAGCAGTACTGGGGATTGTCTAGGCTGCTATTGTTATGGTGTACGTTCCAGGCTCTTGCGTCGTCGTTCTTTCTTCTTAGGGGTTCAGGACCTGCCTTTAACGATTGAGGCTCAGGGTGCCTGCCTTAGGGAGTCGTGTCTCGGTCGAAGGCTTGAGGTTCCCAGGAACCCGCCCGCCCCTTGAAGGCAAAACATGTCTACTGCAAGGGTGGTTCTGTGTTATTGAAATTATTGAAATCATGAGTGGTTGTGAAGACGCGCATGTTGACAAAAGCTCTACCCGACAACACTCATGTGGTACACCAGAACTCGAGCCCAGGAAAGGTCTCCGCACATAATGAGACGCCTACACCCCAAGCCAACGAAAATTGAGTAGCGCGAGCACCTGCGTCCGAAATTCGTCCATCTACCTTCCAAAACTCCATCTTCAGAATCTCTCACCTTCACAACGACCCCAATCCGAACCAGCCATACCTTAAACCCGAAACCCGAAAGACAGTAAACTCTAAAGCCTGAAGCATGAAACCGCAAACCATAAAGCCCTGAAGCCCAGAATATAGGTCTGAAGAGCAAACAGTAGATAGTCTCCATCTGCAGTCCCCCCCAAAGCCACAGTCTCGCTGTTTAAGCCTTTACATTCGTACCATGACCCCAGCCTCCCTAAAAAACAAAAGCGTTTCACTGTAAAGACCTCAAACACTCTGAAAGTCTGCAAGACCGGGGAAGGCGACTCGAAGTACAACACCACAAACCCACAGAAAAAAAAATCACTACAAGGGTTAGTTTCACGCTTTCCGTCAGGATCACTGTAAGGGCTCTGTAAGCGGATCAACCAGAAGAACTCACGAGACTCGAACCCGAGGCCGTGCTTTGTCTCTTCTTTCCGCGGCTGCGTGGCCTACCGGAGCCCGACCAAGGGCATCTGCAGGAAGCCTGCTGGGGCTGTTCTTGCGCTTCTTGTGTTCCTTCGTTTTTGGCGTTTCGGGTTTTGCTTGACATGCTTCTACCGCCTGTAACTTGGTGCTTTAATCTACGTCGGGCTTAAGCCTTATGTCTTATAGGGCCCTAAACCCTTAAATCGTTACAGTATGGCGGAAGACGTTTCAGCCAAGAGGAGCCGAGGCGCCCGTCCACGAGGAGTGAGGAGTCTGCTTTTGAAGTTTAGAAGTTTAGATGCAACTTTTTCAAGGCTTGCGGGCTGCTTATAAAGAAAGGGGGGGGGGGCCGTTTGTTGCTGCTCCTAGCACGGATTCCAGCAACTAGAATTCTGGAGCAACCCAACCTGAGTTATGATATTCTGAGAAAGAGGCTCCAGGAAACTGCGGAGCAGATTGGAGCTGCACTGAGCTGCAGAAGCTCATTGGAATGTCATCCGAAAGCCTCTGCCCCAACGCGAACCGGGTCACTTGCGCTTGCGCCGTGAGCTTCGGATTTTTGATTTCGGATCGAAACGGCCCTGGGCCTTGTACAGAAGCCGAAGGGGACGGAAGTTTTAGTAAAGACCTCCGGGAAGGCTCCAACTGCCCACTTGGGCCTTCGAGGTGCAGCGGCGCATTACACACCGTCAGATTCCAGACCCGAATCCTCGATTCAGTATTAACAGATTAACACATACAGTACAGCCTACCCAAGTTGTGGCAGGGAAGTATCATTTGTGAATTGGGGGTTTGGGTTTCGGGCTTTGAGAGTTTGACGACGTAGGGATTGTTTGGGCTTTGCGGCGAGGTGCTGGTATGGCAGTTGGCCTGCGTCGCCTCTCCCGTGAAGCAGGGCTTTGGGTTCAACCCAGGCCCTGAGGTTCCAATGTGCCCAAAATATCTAAGCCAGGCGTTTATGATGGTAGCGAACGGTGTTCTAATTATCAAGGCAGCTGTATTCTGCGCTTATATATCCATGACTACGACTACCCTTGTGGTGCGTGGACCCTTAGGGGAAGCCCTATAGATCCTCAGCAGTCCTATGCTTGGAGGGTTTGTAGGGTTTAGGGTTCAGGGTTTAGGCAGGGTGTGTAGGGACTATAGGGCTTGAGGGTTTAGGGTGATCGCTGTAGCCAAGACACTGAAGATGACTGCCGAGGATTCCATCTGAAACAGCCGTCGCCACGAGACTGCTGCCATTTGAAATTATTGCCTGTGAACTCTTGATATGAGGGCTGCTCCCACGTGGGAGCTTCTCAAAACGGATGGTATGGTGCCTCAACGAAGAGCAACTCCGACACGGGACTGTCCTTCTTGCGCTGCAAAATGCAGTGAGGTGTTCCCTGAGCTTTTCAGTGTTGTGGGAGGTGTACAGGCAGCCTCCGCGACAAGCCGGAGCTTCTTTGACCTTGGCTTTCTCGCAAAATGGCCGAGTGTCTCGGATCTAGCCTTCGGTGCTTCCCTACGCCGAGAGGATTGATGGTGTTTTTGTTTGTCGCCTTGGATCAGACGGTGAGGCTTCTGAGCGAGTAGCTTTGATTTTACCCGTTTCGGTGTGCACCTTTAACTCCCTGGTGACCCCACAAATGCTGCCCACACGACCATCGCAGTTGCTGCATTCGGCACTTATAGTGTGGTGACCTCTTGTGCGTACATGCGGGCATTGACCATGGCCTCACTTCAACTTCTGTTTTCAACCTGTACAGGGCAGCTTACATAGACTTTTCTGATCGTTTCGTTTCCGCGCTCGCCGACATGGTCCTGCTGGCCTTGACTGCGAACGGAACGGCCACTCGGACAGGACACAGAGCCCTCAAGAACGAAACGAATTGACGCTTACAGAGTTCAGGGGAGTCACCAGATGGACTTGAGATTTGCCTAAGTCCTTCACTGTGCTGGGATCTACACATGGCTGGGGATGAGGTGAGCTCACATGACAATAGTGCCCGTTTGGAGAAGCCGGAAGAGGCAAGGAGGGACAGAGAGCGTGGGGAGGGAGTAGGAAAGAAAGACAGAAACAAAGACAGAAAGAAGGCAACGACAGACAAGAAAGAACACAATCGATGAACAAAGAGACCATGAGGAAGGAAGTGCGGAAAGACGGCAGGAAAGAAAGAACGAAGCTGAATATCAAGTATAAAGAAATAAAGACAGAAAGAGCGAAGGAGAGAGAAAGAGAGATAGAGAGATAAATAGCGACTGATGTAAAGAAGCAAAGAGAAAAAAGCAACAGTTAACGACATGAAGAAAGACACAACTCATTAGACACGTTTAAGATGACCAGCAACCATTTGCCTCAACCTGCAGCGCTTCAGCTTACCAGGATATGGATGCACGCTTGCCTCAAGCAAGCAGTATTGTTTCCCAGATGCCCGACCCCGATCAATGCGGTGCTCGGTGATGGCGATGCATTGACATGCTAAGTCAAACAACACTGAAACCCTAAAGCCGCCAGGCCTTAAATTCTAAGCCCTCAGACCCTAAACCCTACAATCCCAAACCCCTATAAACCCTCAACCCTTTCACATTTCTTAGACCCCACAATGCCTAAACAGTACATCCCATGGCCCATAATTCCTGATCCCAAGACCTGTGCTTCCTCTGAAGCCCTGAACCAGGTTGCGATGAAACCAGCAAAGGTCCCTGTCTCGGAAGTCGAAGCAAAGTCGGTGTTGTGCTCCGCCCGGTAGGGCCGGCTTAGGGTTTTGCAATCTTGTGGGATCCAATTTGAGTGTGTCGTGCATCGCGTGGTTTAGCATTGCAAGATTAATCCTGGCATGGGTTGGTTTGGACTTCTGGTAGCATCGAGGGCTTAATTCATCTTAATATGAGTTGCAAAAGGCAAATGCATTCAACGCAGTGAGACCAGCAGTCACCCCAATACAATTGCCTGAAGCCCCACGATCCTAAGCCCGAAGCTCTGTTTTCGACATGGCTTCGCCGGATTTCCCAGAGTTGGGCTGACGTGTGACGCTTTAGGGGTCTGACGGTTCTGAATGCAGCATGCTACGATGTTTTAGGGCTTTTTCGGTGTTTTTGACGATCGGAAATCTGCAGTCTTGTGGCTCAACAGACTTGATTTATCCTATCCCGCTCAACAGACTTAATCAATCCTATACCGCGAGCACCCTCATGGTGCGCCTCGGACCGACTTGCGAGACCGTTTCAGGGTTCAGGGTTTACCTGAACTTCTAAGACCCAAACCAAAACCTAGCTTTTTCGGGCCCGTCATGAGGAGTTCCTTGCACATGTCCTGAAATCGGTAGGCGTTCTAGGGGGTCTACAATGAATGCTGTCCAGAAGCTTCAGAAGACTGGAAGGTATAGCAACCTTGTAAGGTTGGGGAAGCAGTCGTGTCGGCGATTGCGTATTCTCAAAGCAAACAAACCCGGAGCTCAAATTTGATCCTGCTCATCTATGACAAGGCACGAGACGGGTGAGCTCGTCGTAGAAGTGCTGGTTTGGGGGTTTATTCAGGCTCCAATTTGTTTGAAGGACGCGGCAAAGGGTGCTTAAACACTGGACCGTCATGAGTCATGACCTTGGCCTTATCCCCTTCGGTATACCTAAACCCAAATTCTGACCATTGCTCCCAAAAGCCAGCACCCTAAACTCTTAACCCTAAACTTCACCACTGGTACCTTAGGGTCTACAACCTGAACTCGAAACCTGAGCACTGTTGAGCGCGTGCAAAACGGTGTGTGGAACAGAAAAGTTTAAGCACTGGTACCCTAAACCCTGAACTGAGGCTGTTTACTTTGCGATGGCTCTTGATCACCGTCTGCTCTGCAGCCCTGAGTAGCGAGACCGGCGCGTCCTGCCAAGCGGGCTCTGCCCCTTGGAATCTGGGTTATTGGGTTACAGGTACGAACGGTGGTTTAAGGAATGAAATAGCATACTACCATGGTGGTGTTTTGTCACTTTCTTGGTGATATATATATATATATATATATATGTGTGTGTGTTGCAGGTTGATGAGTGTCTGCAGTGTTTGTGGGTGGACAAGTCTTAACTTCTTAACTCTATACCAGATTAAGCGAGGAGTCTCAACCGCATCTTGAACTCTTAGCCCGAGTTCCTAAAGCGCCCAAGGGCCGGAAGCCTCGGGCATAGCCGATGGCGGAAGGTTGGGATGGATTTGGTTGAGGAAGTGTTTAGGATGATGAGGATCTAGGGTTCCGGGCTTACGGCTTATAGCAGTCCCCCAGAAGTCGCGATGTTTGCTGCGCTTCTTGCTTTCAGGGCATAGATAGCCCGCCCCACCTTTTGAGCATGATCTCGGCTTGTCCCAAAGACCCTACGCCCCAGACTCCAAGCCCAAACGCCCATTAAGCATCATCTGCAGTGTTACCTGTAAGTTCTCTCCAAGCCTCTCCGGTTCTTGATGCATGCTTTCCCTATACTCTTCTAGTATTCTACCATAAAGCATCATCTACAGTAGGCCCGGCTAGCTCCCCCTGGTTCTTGACCCAGGCAACTTGCAGCACCAATGTGTTGATCCAAAAGTCGTCGCAAGTCTCCGCGCAGCTGCTCGGACTTAGGAGCAAGTTGCTCCCGGCTCGCAGCCTACACCAAAGAACATTCATACATGATACTCCTATTGCTATTCCTTAGGTTTCCTGTGAAGTGTCTGTATATCTTCTTTGATGAGTTCAATGTGCATTAATATACCAAAGCCTTCTCCTACTAATACAGACCCAATATCTTGAATTGCTGGCCCTGCGAAATCCTTTCGACATCCTCATCCGTCTACATAATCACCTCTCAACCTAGGCTATGGCCCCTGTTTAGGATCCCAAGCAGATTGAAGGTAATGTATAAGCCTACATCCCAAGCCCTGCATCCTAAACCCTAGACCGTAACGCGAAGCTCGAAGTTAAATGACGGAGAGTTGACCAGGCTTTAGATCTTCAGGGTCGCAGGTTTGAGATTGCGGATTTGGGGGGAACATCTCAAACCCGAAGCCCTCGAACAGTCAGTCAAGAACCATCTTGGGTATAGGGTGTAAGGCATAGGCCACCTGATCACCCTCAGACAAGACCGCAGCAGCCTGAGCAGGAATCACGCGAACACGCGGAAGAAGCCGAGAGTGTGGCCTTAAGTCTCGAGCATTTTGAAGGCAAAGTAGGGCCACCTCGTTGTGCGCAGCTTGCACCTCCCTACTCGTAGGTATTGCAGCTGATCACGCCCTGAAGCCTTATAAGGTCCTGTAAGGAACCCTGCCTTCCAGGATTGCCGAAGGATCCCTCAAAGGATCCCTTGAAGCCTCTTTGTCAGGTCTGCTCCCTCCGAGGAACACCCGACTCCAATACCCGCAAGTTCCGAGACTCAGCCAGCACCGGTAGCAGCAAGGAAGGGTCTAAGTGCAAGTACCAACACGTAATATGCTTTTGCTCTCAGGGCCGAGATGTCTATAATCTAAATGCTCAGACCCTCGACCTTTTTTTGGTAACACCGTGGTATTTGAGGGTTTTGGAGCGGCTCTATAGACAGGTTCTATTCCGTAAAGCGTGCGTAGTTAGAGGAGGCTTCCGGGGTAAGAATCATGTTGTTACATATATATATTATGTTTTTATTTGTGATTCTTGCTATCTCTAACCTGCTATACTATAGTTCTAGAGTCATCTTCGGCCTTTCGCGGAATGCTTTTGTGTTACTGGCACTGGTTTCGGAGATGCATCTGATTGGGGCCTTTCAACGGGAGTGATAGTCTAGTCTGGTCAAATTTGTGCATTCGATCATAGGATTCTTACAAAGGCGTCGTCGAGCAGGGGTTTAGTCTTCCAGGCTTCAGGGGCTTCGGGGCTTCAGATTCTAGATTTTGCTGGCGACACTCCTGTGATCTTTGTGCTTTTCTCTGGTTTGATCATGATCACTGGGGGCGCGCTCCCGTGGAAGCAAGTAATGGCCCTGTCGGACCAGAAGTGGCACGCATGCCCTCGCAGTGTCATGAATCTTGTTGTGGGGCCGCTTATGCCTAGGAGTCGCATGCTGCGTTGCTTGCTCGCGCCTCCCACCGAGCTGGATCGGGATCAGCCGACGCCGTTCAGGCCATTGCGGATGCCTGCGGACGATCATATTATGACTCTGCTAGCAACCCCCATTAATCATAAGATTTTTTCATCGAACTACTTGTGAAGCCTCAACCCTTTGGGGCCGGGAGGGCCTTTCTCAGCGAAGCTCCTTACGGCTCGACCGCAATAGACCCGCTACGCAGACACGGAAGTGCTCCATGCCATTCGAGTCACCAGACTCTTCGGTTTCTCAAGCACTATAGATTCTTATAGATGACAGGCAACTTCTCGGTAACCCTGTTAGTCACCCTTTCTTAACCTTTCGAATCCCAAGAGTCCAAAGCCCAAAACCTCTCCCGGTATCCCTCCGATAACTTCTCGAAACCCTGCCGGGTGAAGGGCCTGGACAGCGCGGTGTCTTCGAAAGTCTTTGATGCAATCGGCGACGGCTTCCAGCCTGCACTGCTGCACACAGTAGCTCCGGAGACCCATCTGCGCCGGGGTTGATAGTGAGGGACCTCGGTGAGTATTTACAGGGCCAGAAGGAGTGCCAAGCAGATCCAGGATAATAGGAGTGATGTCCTAACAACTCGACCCCGCCCGCGATAGAGGACCCTCAGCAGCTTTTACTTGCTGTAGTCGATTCTAGTTGTACTGCATTCCACTTTTGATTTGCGTAAATATGGATGATGATGATGATGATGGTGGTGCTCATGGCGGCGATGATGCATATAATGTGGGCACCGTGACTTCAAAGCGAGTCAACGAGTGGTGCGGAGACGCTGGTTCCGCTCAAGCGTGGCTGCCGGCGGAGACTATGCTGCACAAGGGCTGACAAGGCTGATCAGTTGGAAGAAGTCGAAGTGCACAGCATTCGGGCCACAATATATCAGTCACTCGATCATCTACGCATGCAGTGGTAAGAAAAGCAAGATCAGCATCACGGCCTCCAGACACATTGTGCACGTTCACCACACGAAACCGACAACTGGCAACGCCCACCGGCAACAGACACATACCGCAAAGAATGCAAAATGATTCCACTCGGTGGCTGCGGCTGTACGATGATGTGCGAAACTTCATCTCGCGCCCGTGGTGAAACAACCCGTAGCTAACTGTAGCTTCAAGCGATTTTTCTCGCTCAGCACGTTTTTTGTTCTGCCTTGAGAGAGAGACGTGCATGCTGTTGACGTTGTTGCTGATGATCCTTTGTTTGGCTCTTCAACTGGTAGTAGTAGTAGTAGTACTAGTACTAGTAGTAGTAGTAGTAGTAGTAGTAGTAGTAGTAGTAGTAGTAGTAGTTGTAGTAGTAGTAGTAGTAGTAGTTGTTGTTGTTGTAGTAGTTGTTGTAGTAGTTGTAGTAGTTGTAGTAGTAGTAGTTGTTGTTGTTGTAGTAGTAGTAGTAGTTGTAGTAGTAGTTAGTAGTAGTAGTAGTAGTAGTAGTAGTAGTAGTAGTAGTAGTAGTAGTAGTAGTAGTAGTAGTAGTAGTAGTAGTAGTATTAGTAGTATAGTAGTAGTAGTAGTAGTAGTAGTAGTAGTAGTAGTAGTAGTAGTAGTAGTAGTAGTAGTAGTAGTAGTAGTAGTAGTAGTAGTTCAATCTCAAACCCTGAACCCACAGTTCCCGAGAGTCGGGCCAGAAGACTCCGAGCACCCCAGAACGAGCTCGTTCCCAAAGCTTGAAATTGCAAGCCTTTGACCACAAAGCTGTCAGGAATTCAAGGGCTTTATCAAGCCGTTTTTTTGGAGAGGTTGTTTGTTTCATATGGAAAGAATGTGGCCTGATTTAGTTGAAGCGTAGACCTCACATCACTCGAGGTTTCGAAACAGTGGGCAACGGCATCGCTGATGCAGCAGGGTCCGCGGCCGACGTGGCAGGGGACATTGGCTCAGGCTGGGTTGAGGTTTGAGGGTCAAGAGGGTCTAGGTTTAGGGTTGAGGTTTGAGGATGTAAAATGTAGGATTGGTGTTAAGAGCTGTGTTGGAACCAAGGATCGAAACAGGCAGTCGACATGAGGATATGACCAGCGTACGAGGACCCCAAGTGCACACGCGCACGTGCGTCTTCATGCATTTCCTCAGCAGCGACGGACCGTCGAGCTTGTCAAACCCCTAGCCCACAAACCCGGCATTGTTTCCTGGACACAGCATGCTCGCAGCAGCTTAGATTTACTCGAAATGACAGGTTGGCCTCCATCGCATATTGCACCATGCATGGGAACGTGTTTGTCAAACTGCTGATTGTCATCCGCATGTACTCAGAGCTTCGGTTTTATCCTCCTCCAGCCGTTCATCACGTACTAGTCTCAAGCACGCCTTATGCGGACATGCGGTGAGGACACCTTGAGCTCTGAAATCCTAGAACTTCGACCCTAGACCCCATGCAAACCTTCAACGATGATTCCTCAAATTCAACAGGCTACCTTGGGATTGTGTTGCGTGAGGTTGGCTTTCGAATTGGTTCTGGCACAGCCCTACACCTACGCATTTTTGTTTTTACTCTTCAGCGGGTTTCTGGTTTAGGTGGCTGCAATCAGGCATCGCCGATGTGGGCTTGACTGTGGGAGACTACGTGGGAAACGCCGCTGTCATTGTCGGCAACTCTATCGTCGAGGCTGCAGAGACCTCCATCGATGCACTGCCTAACGAAATCAAGGACGGAGAAACGGGGTATCAAAGCCCTCGGGCATCAGTTGTAATATGCTGGAGTTGAGCACATGGGTTCCCAGCAGGAAGCGGCAAGTTATGTCATTTCCAAAGCCTTGTGAATCACCAAACCCTGTCGTCATGTCACCTCGTGTCCGCGGCATCCCGAATAATTTCAGCCGAAGAAATGCGCGCAAATCTCGATTCGATAGTGACTTCAAACCTGCCCTCTTTAACACCAAAGCGATGTGGATCGAGAGGCGAACCTATGTACTTAAGTCTCAAGCATTCGGGTCGGAAGCTACGAAAACTGTCCTTCGACTTCTGTTTCACCGTTCGGTCCGCGTTGTCAGTTGCCGATTCAATTTACAAGCGTTGAGGTTCTATCGTTTCATGTACCGGCTTTTGTGATGTCCCCATGCCTCCAACAGCCCCAAGCATGCCAGAGTGACCATGGACTGGAGTTTGGGGTTTAGATGTGTTTGTTTGGGCTTCAGGATGTTGGGCCAGGGCGTTCTCCTTTCCCTCACCATTTTTGGACCGACTACTCTCCCCCAACTCCTGGTCTAAGTTCAGTCGAAATCTTCGAACACTGAGACTGGACTGGGCTAACTCTAAAAACGCCTTCGTGAAGATCCTCTGCAACTGCTGCAACACCCGTAAACCTCGGCACGAAATCGTTAGCCGAAAATCCTGACGCCTGGGAAGCTCATCATTCAACCACTATGCAAAGACCGGTAATCATGCTGATGAAAAAGTTTCTAGCAGCTGAGGGTCACCTGATAGTAACCATCAGAAGTAACTAAGACTGAAAAGTTCAACCAACAACAGCAGTAACAGCACGAAGAAAATGGGACGATATGAAACACCCTCAGGAGCACAACAACAGCAGCAGTAAAAATACTAAGAATACTATGTGTACCATTATAAACTCTCAGAAGCGCAACTCAACAATAGCAGCAGTAAAAAATACTCAGAGCAATAGGAGTATCAGGAATCATTTTCAGAAATCCCTACACCCTAACCGTACTCCCTAAACTTTGATTAAACCCCAAACCCTAAAACCCTAAGCTTAAAACCTAAACCTCCCTGAGAATCACTCCCCAGGATGCAGCTTCCACACTTGGAGATGTCGCCGTGGCTGCCGGCTCGGCTGTTGCTGACGTCGGCGAGACTCGGCGTTCCTTGGGGGGATATGGGGTAGAATTGTAAGGACTATTACTACCTTTCCTCCATTCCCAACCAAAGGTAAGGTCGGGGGGATAGGGATTTATAAGGTTTGATGCTTGAGGGATGCGTAGTGACTTGGCTTTGGGGAGCCTTCGGGATTGAAGCTGAGCCACTGCGGGGCCACGGGGCTCGCGATTTGGGACGCTGAGGGTTCAGAGCTTAGGGCCAAGCTTGTTCGTGTGTGTGAAAGAGAGAGAGGGAGAGAGAAAGAGAGAGAGAGGGAGAGAGAGAGAGAAAGAGAGAGAAAGACAGAGAAAGACGGAGAGAAAGAGACAGAGGGAGACAGAGAGAGAGAGAGAGAGGTAAGCAGATGTATATAAATCTCCCTTTCTATCTAATGATTAATTGATATTGTTGTCCGTGGCACGCTTTTCGAACGGGCTCAGGGCTTGCTAAACTGTAAAGTTCGACAGACCGTGACTGGGCGATTGAAGCACCGAAGATACCCTAGCCGTAGCCCAGCCCCAGGACCCTGTAATCTCTCAACCCCAAATCTCAAGGATATGGAGGTCAATAATGTAGGGGCCCAAATAATTACCACTACTATTCTTTAGGGGTTGTTATTGCAATTAGACTTCGTATAATATACCCCCAAACCCTTTTCGAATTATTGAGGCCCCTAAATTAACCCCCTTTGTTTAGTCTTTCGGGCTCAGGCTTCTCTCGGGGATTGCGCGGGGTTTCGGTTTTAAGGCCTACAGGGTCTCGGCACTCGAAATTTAGTTGGCATAGAGTTCAGGACCCGAGGGCTACCGGTGCAACATCCGTGCTTGTCGGCAAGCTGCTGCCTAAGCTGCAACAAAACTTCCCTGGCTGTAGCTGTAGCTATTGCCAATGACGATGCGCGTGCATCGACTACTACCTGCCCAAGCCTCCAAGTACATCTTCTAGAATCCGCGACGCACTTGATAGAATCTTTCGATGCCATTGCGAAATGAAGCTGCGCATTTTGGAAGGTGCGTTGTTATGATGGTGGGGTCAATATGATGCGGCCAAGTTCGGGCAACGCTTTGCCTGACACCTGGGAGCCCCTGCAGCCTGAACTTTCGAACCCCGAAGTCCAAAAGAAACCCTGCAATCCTAAGCCATTGTAACAACCTGGAGCCCTCTAAATCCCTACTGTAAACAAAACGTAGAGAGAGTGTCCAAGTTCTTGACTTGGGGTCCAAGATCACATCTGAGCTCTCGGCTACACGATGGCTAGGCATGCTTCCTACCAGAACTCACCATCAGGATTCTGTGCCCAGATCCCTTAATGGCATCTAGATCATTATATGGACCAAATAGGGCCTTGTTGAAGGCATCCGGTAGCCAGCCTGTGTTTGTATGGTGGTCTCGCACCTAGGATCCTGACATGCTGCATTTTGATTTGAACCTGAACCCGGCTTCAAAATCAGCGTCCTCTACTTGGAGTATTCACAAAAACCTCCTCCAACCGGGGGATGCCAGAAAAGCCTCGAAGTGCGAAACCCTTATGTCGATTTGGTTTTCGGAAACCCTTGAACTCAAAACCCGAAGCCCCGGATCCAAAGAAACTCTAAGCCCCAAACCCCTAAACGCCTGAATCCCTAAATCCCTCAGCCTGACGATCTCTTATAAAACCGTTATATTGTACATATATATATATATGTATATATTTATGTATATACAAGTATCTATATGTATGTATGTATATATCTATACGCTTGTATGCTTATGTATGCATAAAGAGCCGTCAAGGAAGTGGTGGCCGACGCCACCGTGGATTTGGCCGGGGATGCGCTCGATGCGGCCGAGCAGTCGATAGCGCAGGCCAGCAGCCAAGTAGAGCCGTTGAAGTGCTGGGCCTAAGATTTAGGGGTTTAGGGTTTATAGGGTCTAGAGTTTAGGGGTTTAGGGTTTAGGATGAGGCGTTCAGGGTTTAGGGTTAAGTTGTTCTGGGGTTTAGGGGTCTGGTCCAGGCTTGAGATTCGGGTTTAGGGTTTAGGTTTTCTTTTCCGAACATTTTTTTTTGGGGGGGGGTACCTTGTTTTAGTCTTACAACAAGGATCCTGCTATTTAGGGTGATATGTTGGGACCCCCTATTTCCCCAAGACTCGAAAATCTGAACGGATTTACGGTCTGTCCAACACCCGCATCCCAAAGCTCACGTGCCGATAGCACTGCACCGCCACGTACTAAGCACTAAGCCCCTATCCCCATACCGAAGATCTCTCACATCACGATGCGCGAACCCGATATCCTGAGTTGACGTGGACCTTCACGCTACTCGAAAGCCTCACTCTAAGACCCTTCCGCACAGGGGGTGAAGCTTGCCAGCACAGTGGGAAACGAAATCGCCAGCAAAGCTTCGGCCTTGGGTGGCTTGGTCGGGTGCTTTATGGGCTTTGGGGTTTAGGGTTTTAGCGTTTTAGGTTTAGGGCTTAAGATTTATAAGGGTTTAGGTGTTTTAGGGTTTCGGGTTTCAGAAGGTTGAGACATAGGAGTTCGGGCCTCGGGCTCTTGAATTCAGGAGAGAACTATCCCAAAGCCTTGTTTTTTATAATTTCTTGAGGCCCTGATATGAAGGGTCTAAGGTGGCGAGATTGCCAAACTGGGGCCTTTAGCTGCCGGCCTTGCTAAAGCTGCTTGGGACGAGATCAAAAAGTTCATCAACTGCCTCGCCCAATCCTTCACCTTGCGCCTTGCCACTTTTTGGTGGTTTCTTGTAAGTTTTAAGAGTTGCTGGAAGGGGGACTATAAGATACTGTGCTATAATATAGGGCTTGGATGAAAAGGGCAGTAGCACCAAAGGCTTCACTGAGGGTTACGTTACGGATAACTATAAGAGGGGCTATAAGATGCTATAAGGGCATTATCATCAAGCGTGGTGTGTTGAATCTGGCTTGGGTGTTCGTTGTTCCATTCGTTATTTCTGTGCTTTGACCCCCCCTGGCGGTTGCTAGTATCATGTAAACCCGCAGGATCATTGCCAGTTGGCTTTGTGCGAATTCCTCTTGACATTTTGTCATTTTCCAGGTTGAAAAGTGTTGTCATTTTCATGGTCTTCACTAGTATTCTGCTGTTGTTCGCCTTACCATTACCAAGATCCTGGAGGCACCTCCATATATACACAGATTCAGCCAAGACATGACAAGGTGCAAGATGCTGATCGGTGATATGTGCGATTGCGACTCGGGGAGTGATGTCAGCGCCTCCCTGTCCGGCCTCTCTATGAGATGCAAGTTCAAAGGCGACTTCGCACAGGCCATCTGCACCAAAGGGTGCAAGGGTAAAGCCGCATGCGCCAATTGCTCCAACACATTCTCAGTTTTCGTTGTTTGGTTGTTGTTTGTTTGGTTTCAGGGGGGGGCTGGCGGGGGGGCTTCCACCAGCAGCGCTGGCATCATGTGGAGACCTTGTTCAAAACGCAGCCCATCACTCTAGCATGATTTTCAAAGGGTTTGGCATGTGCTAGCTGCTGCAAGACGCGTCATGAGCAGGATGATCTTCACGATCAGACTGAGCATTACGACGATGATGCCAAGGACAAGAAAATCTGAGCACACCGACACTCCGCACTGTCGTTATCTTCTCCACAGAACGCGCCAACGAAACCGTCGCAAAAAGTTGAGGTAGTCGTCGCAGTCACCGTGGCGGTCTCGATCGCGGTCGTGGTCGCGGGCATACTCGTCGTAGTCGTGCTTGTTTTAGTACAAGTGGTGTTCGCGTTCGCTTTTGCTCGGTCAGTGTCTGCCAGGGCTTTGGTATCTCGTCCAGCAGCAGCGGCTCCTTTGAGATGGGCGACGCCAGCAGCGGGGGCAAGATCAAGCTGCCGGGCAACCCTTTTCAACAGCAGCGGAAGCATCCGGGAAGCTCCCTGAGGCCATTCTCGGGATCTCAGAAGCCCGGAGACGGACAGGAAACGGCCCCTTCGTAGCGCGGGGCTAGAGGTGAGAATCACCACGTCAACCCAGCCTGTCTGAGATTGCTACACCCTGAACAACTCTGGCACTAGGCCTCAGGGTACGCAGCCCCCCTAAACGCCTAGTCACTAGATCTGAATCCCAAGCCGACACCCCTGAAGCCTATAGGCCCAGGCCAATACATTTACTAACTGCCTTGCAGGTCACGCAAGGCTTTGAAGGGCTCCAAGTCCAAGGCTCCAGCGGGGTCCTGCAACTCGGATCACCCTGTGCTGTCCTTCTGCGTGTATGTTGCTTTCCCTGTGTTTTCTCTGGTAATTACAGTAGCACTGAAAGGAATAAGCATGTTAAAAATACAGAATGCCCTTGTTGGTTCCTGGTTTCCAGTGTAATCAACACTAAACAACAGTAAAGTTCAATAGCTGAGACGATGTAACTAGGAGGAAGGGTGCCCTCATTATGAAGGGGCTGCTTTTTGTGAACTTAGGCGAATCCAAGTTGGAGCTTGCCGTGGAAGCTGGGCCCACGATGCGTGGGGTGTAGGGTTTACTGTATGGGTTGGGTCAGGGCCAGGGCTTAGGGTTTAGGGTTTAGGATTTAGGGTTTAGGGTTTAGGATTTAGGGTTTAGGGTTCAGGGCAGAAGTGTGGGGGATTTCCGCGGTGGACCATGTACTGAAGATGATGGACAGCAGGACCGTGCCCATTGTACGTCGTTTGATTAATACTGTAGGATGCTATGTACACTGTATGCTGGGTACAGTCTTGAGGATTACATTCGGTTCTTGTTATTCTTGGTAACAGTTATATAAGATTTCGGCGGTGAGCTTTCCGCCTTTGTTGTACATCAACCTGCTGCTTTCTATGCTGTGAGTCTAAGCTTACATCTCGTCTCATTAAACGCCATCTTTATGGTCGCCGTCGTCGGGGCGGCGACAGTGAAGTAGCTGTGCTGTAGAGGAAGTTGAGATGCTGTTCCGTTGCTGTCCTTGTGCTGTGTTTCTCCTTGTTGCGGTGCATCTTGCTTAGGATCGGGTGGCAGGGCGGGCTTCTACGAAAGGTCCGAACGAGGCTAAGTCCGCTCCAGAAGCGGGCCGATTTGGTTTCTCCGTGTATCTTACACGGACGGCTTGTGTTCAAATAGCCCGAAAATGACCGTTTCCGAGAAGGAGGACCTTCAAACAGTGGGGTTGCTGTTCGAAAGATCCGCAGACACGGACCCCTAAACAGTGCTCCTTGAGCCTCTAGAACGCCAAAGTCTGAAGCCTTCGACCGAAACCCTCATTCAACCGTAAACCCGAACTCTACAGCCTAAACGGCCTAAACTCTAAACTCGAAATCCTAAACCGTAAACCCTAGAAACCCTAAACTTGAGAAGCCTCTAACTGTTCGGCAGTCGGAAGAGAGCCCTCAAAAGCAAAGAAAGAAAGCTTGAAGCCTCTAGCAACTCGGAGCCCGGCCCAGCCCGAGGAAGGTGTCGTCCAGTTCGAACCGACAGTGAGCATCAGCCTGAAGACCAACGGCGACACCGAGGCCTTTGGGTGTTTAGGGCACTTCGGGGTTTAGGATATTTAGGGGTTTAGCGTGTTCAGGGGTTAAGGGTGTTCAGGGATTTAGGGGTTTAGGGTGTTTAGGGGTTTAGGGTATTTAGGGTTTTAGGGTTTTAGGGTTTCGGTTTAGGGTGTTGGGATTTAGGGTTTAGGGGTTTAGGGTTTCGGCTTTTTTGATTTAGGGTTCAGGGTTTCGGTTCTTCTGCTTCCGGGGCTTTTGGCTGTTGGGTGGCTTAGGGTTTGGATTCACAAAGCCTCTACTGAACTCTAAGCAGTGATCCGAGAGCAGGAGCAGTTGCCAAGCCTTAAGCCCCAACTCTCCCTCAAAGTGAAACCTGAACCCTGAAACCCCAAAACATCGAAACCCCCTAAGCCCTAGCAATGGTGTCCCCTCATGTATGCAGAGTACTGTTTCACATGCCCATTCGAATGGTGAAAGCATGGGAAAACAAAGATTCGCAGTTAGTCGGGGTAATGTTGCCAAGGCCCAAGCTGAAGGCTACGGGCTTCGGAGGGTTTCACGACTTTCAGTAGTCCGACATTGTTTCATACTGTGATGGGCTGTGCTGTGCTATACTGGACCTCTACCTTACTCTATACTATCCTATATCACTCTGTTACCTACAGCCGTCCGTGTTGTGTCATAGTATACGACAGACAACTGACATGTTTGCACAGAACGCCTTAACAATTATACCTATACATTTCCTATAAATATCTGCCAAAACCCTATTCGAATGACTAAGACCCCTGCATTAATTGAAGCTCCTCGAGGATTGATGTGTGTTCGGCTTCCTGGCACTGCCGGACCTGAGATCTTCACAAGGGTTTAGGGTTTAGGGGCGTCACCTGAGGCTTATAATATAGGAGCCCAAATAACTACCAATACGATTTGGTGGGGGGCCTTATTTATAGCTATAGTATACCGGGCCCCCAAACCCTATTCTAATTATTAAGGCCCCTACATTAAATCCAGCCCACGACTGGCAATGAACGAGAACCTGAATAGCAGCGACTTGGTTACAGGGTCGTCGGTGAGGGAAGACAAACACTAATTGCGAAGGCCCCTATGTTTGAACCTTTTATATAATCCCTAACGCCAAACCCCTAAGGCCGTAAAGGAGATCGCTTCAAAGCCCTTAAAGGAAACCCAAGCCCTGAACCCTTAACCAATATCATACAACCCTATGCTATTCTTTAGGGTGATCCCTGTTGTAGGATCCTATGTTGCAGCTTCAAGCCCTCCTGGATGCCCTTGACTACATTTCCGAAGGAACACTACTACAGTGAACCCTAAGCCCTTCAAGGAAGCGTAATATATTACCTCTGCAAGCCTTAAGGGAACCCCCTTTAAGCCTAAAGCCTAGAAAACCTAAAGATCTCTAAAGCCTAAAGCCTGGCAGGTGGGCGTGGAAGGCTTGGTCCGGGCCTCCTTCGACGCCTTGGCCACGGCGGAGGGAGGCTGCGGTTTGTCCGCGGAGAGGCGGCTCCTTGGAGCCAGCCTTTAAAGACACCCTTAGGGGAGTTCTGCTACAGGGCGCTTAGGGGGAGTTTAAGGGGGGTTGGGCTCTTAGGGGGAGTTGAGGGTTGAAGATGTTTTGGGGCGTTGATGAATTTGGGGCTCGCGGTTCAGCCTGGAGACGGCGGGTGCAAGACTTTCTGGTTCAGGGCCTAGGGCCTAGAGATTTTCGGGAAGAATGCAGGGTTTAGCACCTTAGAGATGACAGCCCTCCGTCTTTGGGGTTTAGGCTTTTAGGGAGGAGCTTCGTGGGTGTATACGGGAGTTTTCGAAAATTGGGGGTACCTATTTTGGGGTCCTCATAATAAGGACCCTACTATTTAGGGTACTATTTTGGGGGTCCCCGATTTTCGGAAACTCCCATACGGAGTTTCTGCATCATGTGGCTTGGGGAAACGAAGCAGGCCACATGCAGGATGATTCGGATTAAGAGCCTTGCAACTCGCATCCTGTTTAAGTTTTGGGGTGCTGATGTTCATGGATTCTGATAAAGATCTTGGACCTGCAGTCTCGGGCTGTAGCATTGTGATGCTGCGCCTTTCCAGAAAAATCTTGTGTGATATTATACTTTGTGTATCTACGTGTATATATATATATATATACACACATACATACATATGATGTGTACGTGTATGTTTTTTTATCAGATAGGTTATAGTTAGTTATTATGTGCGTGTGTATATATATATACATACATATATGTATACATACATATATATATATATATATATATATCTTTATGTGTGTGTATATATATAGGCAGATAGACATAAATGTACGTCGTCCGTATGTATGTATGTATGTATGTACGTATGTATATACATACATGTGTATACATACATGTGTATACATATGTATACATCTGTATGTATATATATGTATGTATATATATATATATATATATATATAGGGCTGCCTACTATGGTACATCGTGAACAGATGGCTTTGCCGGTTTTTGCCTCAGTGCACGGGCGCTCGTTGCTTCGAGGGCGGGCTTCGCGGCAGTTCTAGCTTTCTGGGCACCCTTGAGTTTGGGGTTTATGGTTTGGGGTTTGGGGTACCAATCCGTGGAACCAAAATTTGATTGTCGAAGCTGGTCACCCCTCGAACACAGCGATGAGGTTTCCGCAGAAGCCTCTCCAGAAGGTTGCTTGCGCCCCGCCGTTTTGCGTCATCGTGGCTCTGCTGCCTTTGAGTGTTCTCGGACGTCGAGTTATTTCGGATTCGAGGTTCCGGGTTTGAGGCTTCCGAGCAGATGAGTGTATGGGTTACAGTTTGATAGGCTTTCGATCTGTTTCAGATTTGTTTTGTGGCTTCGTGGCTTCACAAGCGAAACTCACAAGCAAAGCTTTTTTCGGGATTTTCTCCCTGATGGTATCGATCCTGTGTGGTGCTTTCACGGGGACACGACGGGGGGTGCAGGAACAGGGGGCGGAGATAGCCGCAAACACTAAGGTTTTCTGTGTCGCGGATTCCGCATTCAGTGAAGTGCACTGTAGTGCAATTTGTGTGGTACTAATCCTCCGAGTGTTGTTCCATTCATGAGTTATCATCAATGCGATGATGTGGCATGATGCTGATGCGGATGCTGCGAGCGCAGGAAGGAGTATCATGCTCCTCCATGTTCTTGCATCTACGCCTGACCCACAAGGACAAGTGTAGGGTCGGGTGTAGGATATTGGCACAGATTTCTTCGTTAATCTAATTTGTTCTAAGCGCTGCAGCCGTGATATGGGAGTTCCGAAGATTAGAGTCTTATTTAGGGTACTATATCATGAGGTGCCCTAGTTGCGGAAACTCCCACATTCAATCCGACGCTTTTGACCTCCTTTCTTCAGATCGCTCCAAGTGTTCAAGAGGGCACAAATGCTTCACGGGCGCTAAGACATTTAATGTGGAGGTTTAGGGCTTAGATAGAGTTTATATTAATTATCGTCATCATATGATATGTACGCCTAATATAGGGGCCTAAATAAATAATTTCCAATTTGTTCGGGAAGGAGGGTTCCTCGGTATAGTTAAGTTATAGTATAACGGGCCCCCAAACCCTATTACAATTATTAAGGCCCCTATACTTTATTATCGTTATCATATGATATATAGGGTTCTTCGAACATACTGTGTGTAATGTCCAGTGCAACCATTGATGCTACGCTGCATGTGTCCGTGTTTAATCTGTGAGGATCTCATTTAGCAACGCGTCCTGAGAGCGCATGACACCCTACTCCTGAACCCCAGCTAAGCAACCTTCACACTTAATCACTGAATCTCCAAAGTCTGAAAATAGAAAACGCAAGCCTGTAAGAGCCTTACACCTCTGCCATGAGCAACTCAACAGATCAACCCCAACACCCCTTCATGAGACCTGGTACCTGTTACCTCCCCACCCCAACCAAATCCATAATCCTAAACCCTAGAGCCAGGGGTAGTAAGATGCCTGCTCCATTGGAGCTCTCCAACTGTACTGCAGCTGGAAAAAGGTCCTCAAAAAAGAAAAAGAAACCTAAAGCCAGGTGTTGCTGCAGATGGTGGCCGAAGTGGAGATGAGTGGAGTCATCACGGGCAGCGCAGAGGCCGGAGCAATGGGTCAAAATCAGCCAACCCTGGAGCTTGGGGCTTTACCTAAGGCCACATAGTGGTTCCTTTTTGGGGTTCATATTTAGACTCCCATAAGGTCATCCAAAAAAGGAACTACTATGGGGCCTGTGGGTAGGTTAGGGTTTTGTGAACAGTCAGAATAGCGTTCCCTTGTATGAGGGTTGAGCACTCTCTGGTTTGGGATTTTGGTGTAGGGTCTATGGGTTTGAGGTTGACATGTCCCCTTAGTTATACTCGCGGTTATATTTGCTACAACAAAACTCAAATCCTGTTTTTGATTACTGAGGCTCCTACATCATGACCCGGGTTTGGCACTGCATGTCTTGAAGCAGAGTGTTCCCAGAACTCCTGGACACCTCAATGACTTCTCCTTCCATTGAACAGGGACTCTCAGTATGGTTCCAGACATATTTGAAAAAAATGTTGACTGTTTCTGACAGTTAGTGTAGACCCTGACGATTATGCAAGGGGCTTTAGACCGAGATCCAAGTTATTGCGGGAAGGGGGTCAACTGATACGGGTTCTACGCGACCCTAAACCATCGTCCCTGCATTGTGACCTGTAAGTATTAGTCTTGATACCTGGCATCCTTGCAGTGGTCTTTGATGGGATCAGCAACATTATCTCCTGACCAAAGCAACATCTGGCATCTAGCAGTCTAGCGGCTTCGTCAGAGCATATAACAGCCATGTGCAATCTTCCAGGCTAGTGACGTCAAGAACCCTCCCAAAAGCGCGAAGCCTTGGGTTTCCTAGGCTTTTTGAGAAGGTCGCCCTTTCTTGAAGAGACTGAGAATGAATCCAGACGATGCCTTGCAAAGTGCGGTATAGGCAGATATATCAGATTGCGTCCCGAAAACGCCTAACAATGGTCCCTTTGAAGGGATCCTTAAAAGGGTTCTATATAAGGCTGCTATAATCATACTATAGTATTATATATATATATAGATATATATATATATATATATATATAGATATAGATATAGATAGGGGACATCTTTCTTGCAGAGGTCGGCGCCAGCGCGGATTTCCAGATCTCCGGCTCTGTCCTCGTGAACCCGAAGGGACACGCCGACGCCGACTTCCAGAACCCGACCATCAAGCACCAGGAACTTTGCGCTTGAGGAGTTTTAGAATTTTAGATTCACTTCTCTCTCGAGGATCTTTTGTTTTTGTGGTGTTGCCATTGAGAGAAGAACCTGAATAGAGGGGCCGTTAAGTAGGCCATCAAACTGCCCTCGTTGCGGTTGTTGCTTCGTTTGACAATGATACTACTGTCCTTGCCGTAATCATGTTCATGTTTACTGTTGTCCTATCGCATGTTGGTTCCTAAGTCTTGCTCACAGCTCCTCCCTTTATCTTCGATCTTGCAGCTCATTCTCGTGGTGGTGATGACGACTGCAATAATATTACTATCATGAACATATGCTTGCCCTGGGTCGTGTAGTAGTCGTAATTGAAACGCTTCGCGTCGCCCGCCTCGGCCCGGCTGCACACGCATGTGCCAAATAATTATCATCCTGTGGTCTGCGTACAGGAGCCTGATTTAGAGAACTTGTTGCATCTCCGAATCCTGTGCCTGATATTCGACATACCCCCTAGCTGGGCAATAGCGATGCTTGAATCTCCGATGCCCGCAATCCGTCAAAGAGTTAACTCGTGGAGCCCTGCACCGTACTGCTTAAAGCCTTCAATGCCAAATGTCCGAACCTGTAAGTTTTGTGGCAAGTTTCAGTTTCTGAACCCTGTACCGTGGCCGACCGCTGCCGGTTTGGGACGCAGAAGGGGTAAGGGGGGAGGGGGGGAGGGGGGGGAGGGGGCGGGGAGGGGGGGGGGGGGGGGGGGGGGTGGGAGGGCGAAAATTCCTTGGGGCTCATCGACACGTTTCCATTTTGGAGGGGATTAAGAGGTGGGGAATAGAGGAAATCCGAATAGGAACCTCTGACCGGTTGGGCCGGGGCCGAGGCGAATTAAAGTAGTCGCCGTAGTATAGGAAGAGGAGGAGGAGGAAGCGGGGAGGAGGGGGTGGGACAAAGGTGGAAAGGTCTTTGAGGTGGTGTTGTAAACATAGAACTTCTAGCTGCCGTTGCAGTCGTCATTAGATCTTTTGTCTCGTTGTGGCTCCTCTGACATGGATGGCTGAAGCGGGCACTCAGGGACTGGCTAAAATGAGCCGTCATTGTCGTCTTGCTGGCAAGTGAACACTTGCCCCCCCCCGTTGCTACAAACGTCTTCGTTGTATCGCCACCACAGTTGCTCTTACTACGGCTACTGCTGCTGCTGCTCCTACTCCCCCTCCTGCCCGAAGGAGGGTTTTGGCCTGGCAGCGTCGGCGTTCGGCAGCGTCCGAGTCGGCATGGGTCCGGTACTGACGGCGGCCTGGCCAAGGATTCAGGTTTGAGTTTAGTGTTTAAGGTTTCCAGGTTGAGGCGTTTAGAGTCTAGGGTTTATCTGTTGTGTTCAGGCTTTTGGGTGTCGTTTTCAAGGTTCAGGCTCTAGATAGAGACTTTGAAGCTCATGGGTTTGTTCACAGAGCCAAGACCTGCTTTGCCGATGTCCGAGATGTACTTGTAAGTCAGGAGTCAGAAGCAGCAAATCATCATGACGAGCTTCACATCTCGACCCTACCAGCTCATCCCCAAGAGTATATAAAGTATCACAACTACAACACTTTAGTGCTTTTGCCAGTGATGTTCGCCGCGACCCATGAGATGTGAGTCTTTTCTTCGCAATCCGGGCTGAGGGGAGTCCAAGAGTGAAGAAGCATTGCAAGGCTTTCTTTCAGCTTCCCTTCCAATCGCCTCCTTTCGAGCACCAGGAGGGATCGAAGCTCAGGAGGCTTTTGGGCCCTCGTATACTCATGAGAGAGCCTTGCGAGGTTTGGCCCATGCCTGGCGTTCCGATCGTCATCAACCCCATGTTCAACGCAGAGGTGCAGAGTTTTGCAGGTAAAGGGGCTCCAGTGCCCAAAAAGAAAAGCCAGCTCATCCAGATGATGACAAGGGAACTGGAGACCGAGTGTGAGAGTAGCGGATTGTGCTTGCGAGCCTTCCTTCACTTCAGCAGCGGCTGACTAATTTCTTTCTACGAGACCCGCAGCCCCCATGGCATGAAGTGACCAGAGCCCCGAAACCCAGAAAACCCCGAAGCAGCGCTGAAATTATGACCAATTCCTAAACCCGTTGGTCGTACCTTTCATAGAGCCTTCGAAGAAAAGCCGCACAGCACATTTACAGCGCCCCTTAAAGCACCCGCAATGGCACCCTCAAAGCATCCTAGGCCCCAAAACTTATCTTTGGTTAGTAGGGAATGGAAGAATGGTAGTAACAGTAGTTATAATTCTACCCCATTCCGGCCCATTCCTCCATTCCCCACTGGTTTTCTCACCAAAGGTAAGAAAACCCTCCAGGTTCGGGCCCAGGGGACGCTGCGACTTTCTTCCGGCTTCTCCCTTGCAGAGACCCAGGCGGTGAACTCCAGGAGAGACTCATGGATTCTCGAAGGGTCCTGGCCTTTGTGGGTTCTTTAAACATCCTATATTGGGCTTCTAGACGGGTTCGCGAGAAGGTTCCCAAAAAGGTTCAATAGAACTTGTACAAGAATCAGAGTGTTTTTTTGAACGCGAGGGATTGGCCCAGGACAACCGTCACTTCCAATACCAGCCGCGTGAACCGCATCGACATGTGTCTTCCTCAGCAAAATGGAGAAGAACTTCAGACTTCTTGAGCTTCTTTATGGGACCTGCACTAAGAAGATTGAACTTGCCGGGGCTTGGTTATTGGAGAAGAGAGGTGCGGAGCTGCGGCCGTGAACCTGTTTGCCGACATCGACATTCAAGGCAAGATCAGATCTACTTGCGAGGGCGCGGAAGTTCTTTGAAAGCCTAGCCATGCAGAGGATTATATCCAGAGGAGGCTCCTAAACCCTGTAAGCCTCAGCTATCCCAAATCTTCAAGGGATCTTCTGAAAGAAATCATACGACGAATCGACGAAGTCCTAGCGTGTTGCTCGGCTTTCTTGGCTAGCAAAGAGCAGGCTTCGCGCTACCGAAGCCCATCTCTGCAAGTCTGGGCACCGGCTGGATCAAGGACAAGATCAGAGAATCGATGCTTAGCCGAGCAGGGGCACAGCCTTCGGGAGGAAAGGTTTGGGTGAAGGAGAGCTGGGAATGCGCAATACAAGTCGTGATAATATCAATCGTGGTAATACCATTAACCAGAAGCTTTTAAACCTGGCATCCTTCAACAGTCTCAGTCCTGGGCGAGAAATGCCGAGATCACAGATCGACTCATGAGATCAGCATCGGAGCGCTTCAAGTTGGGTTTACGGTTTATGCTAGTTCAGGGCTTCTCCTTAAAGCCTGGTAAACTTAAACCCAAACCCACGGCATCGCCACAAGGATCCTAAAGGGAGCCACTGCCCTGGTCAGCGTCATCACTGGCCCGGCGGCCTGCATCCCTGGTGCCGCTTGGCCTTCTCTCAAAACCTCATCATTGGAATTCGGGTCTAGATGGGTTTAGGTTTAGGGCTTTTTTTTCGGGTTCGGAGGTTAGGGATGACAAGCCCGTTTAGGTTTTAGGGCTTAGGGTTCTGATAGGTTTCTCGGTTGAGTGCTTTAGAGTTTCAGGGTCTTGCAGGTCAACATGGCTTTCATATGGTACCCTAAATACTCGTAGTAGGGTCCTGAAAAGATTTGGACCCCAAAATAAGGTACTTCCCAGTAATGCAGAGCTTGTAGGGACTTCAGGACAGCAGGGCTGTCGACTCTGTAGTTCAGAGCTTCCTTTTTGTTTTTCGGGTTTAGGGGGTTTGAGTTTCGGGGTTTAGGAGGTGTAGGGTTTAGGTGTGTAGTAAAAGGTCTTTATGCTGTTTTCAATAAGAAAGTCCCGTAATGATAGGGCTATCCCGTCTTCTTCCAGTCAGTCTGAACAAGAAAATCCCAAAAGGGCACCACTGACTATGAACCCCTAAACCCAAATGCTCACACAAACATGTCTAAGTGCGACATTGAACTCCTGCAGCAACCCAAACCCCCAACAGCGCTTAACCCCAACATCCTCCAAACCCACAAAAACCTGAACCCTAAACCCCCCAAACACTGAAACCCAAACCCCCAAAACGCTCTAAACCCTAGGCTCGACCCACTCGCAATCCGTAAACCTGGCATTACACAGATCGGCGCCCACGAGACCCTGTCTCTGACCTAAACCCATTTTAATCCTGCAGGCCCCAAATCTCAAACCCTAGGATGCCCAGTAGAACCCTTATTCCCTTTTTGTAGTCCCAGGTTCCTTATAAAGTTACCCAATACCAAAAGAGGGAGCCCTTTTTCTTCCTAGGTTACGGGGCATCCTAGAACCCCATAGACTTAGACGAATACTTGACGCCACAAAATCCCGACGCCACAAGCCCCTGAAGCCGCAATCCCCTAAACCCCTAAACCCTCAACGCCCTTTGACCCCCTAAATGCTAAGAGCCCTAAGCCCTATAAACCCGACAAGCCCTACATACCCTATAAACCCCTAAACCCTAAGAGCCCTAAACCTCATAAACCCTATAAACCCTACACACCATATAAACCCCTAAACCCCCAAACCCCTAAATCCCAAGAGCTCTAAGCCCGGACGAGGCCGGTGCTGTGACAGATTTCGTCATGGACGCAGCTCACGCGGCAGCCGGAGATCCGAAGTGCTCAGAGTTGAGGGCTTTGGCTTTTAGGGGTTAGGGGCTCTTAGGGTATAGGGTTTAAGAGTTCAGGGTTTAGGGGTTTATATAGAGCTTAATTAGGGGTTTCATGCTTTAGGGTTTAAGCGTTTCGAGTTTAGGGTTTAGGGGGCTTCAGGATTTAGGACACGGCTTCTTAAGGGTCTCTTGGGGTTTAGAAAGCGTCCTGGGCATGCGAGGCGTTGAGAGGATTTCGGTTACACAGGACTCATAGGACTATGCATATACAGTCATCACATATTTGTAATATAGAACCGTAGTATACCACAGTACATAGTACCTCATGACCTTGCATGAGTTGAACGGCCTGTTCACGTTAAGGCTTTGGGAAGCGTCTGTGGAGGTTCGGAGGGTTGACTTGAGAATAGAATCGGAGAAGTTGGCCATATGTTGTGGGGTTACAGCCAACTCTCCCCAAGCCGCAAACTAATCGTAAGCGCTATGATGCCGAGACCCTATTCGGAGAAGGTCCTCAGCAAGATGCGAATCGTGATAGCTGTTGTTACTATCTTGTAGCGTGTTATCAACAATTAATTGGTAAGCGAATGGACGTATGTATGTACGTATGTGCGTATGTACGAACTTTCTGATCAGGGGCTTTGTGTAGGCTGCGCCCGACTCGGACACTGTGCCTCGAACAGCGCAACAGCAAACGTATGTACACAGGTATGTATGTATATGACATATACAGATATAGAGTAGCTGCAATGGTAATGCTGAACTTTATATAGGCCTATGAAGACAAAGTCCACCCGAGGCCCTTCACCAACAAACCAAGCACAACGCCAGCCCTAAGGAGCCATCAGACCCTAGAACGCAGAACGTTAACAACTTGAAACCGTGAACGCGACACCCCAAACTCCAAAACCCAAACCCAGGACCCTAAGGCCCCCTGAAAGGAGCCATCACGGGCCTCATTCCGAATCTCAATTTGGATTTCAGCACGCCCTCCATGCAGCTCATGGGCCCTACGAAGCTGCCCCAGGGCGTGAACATGTGGGGATATGGGCACTAGTTCATAGACAGGATGTTTTGAGATTTTTTGTCTTCATGGGGTCATTGTCACGTGTTTGGATTGTTGTAGTATGATTTCGTAGGGTTATTAGTTATTCAAGTTATGTCGATTTAGCACTGCTATACTCGTTCGGTTCCTTAGTAAATACGCTTTGATAATCCCGACAAAAACTCGAAGTTGTTGCCGGGTTCTCAGGTTGTGTCTTGGGCTTCAGGGTTGTGGACTCTGTGCGTGCGGGCACAAGTTTCAGGCTTAAGAGGTTTGCGGCGATAGGGTCGCGAGTTGTTGGGTCATCATTGGGCTATAGAGTTATGTGTCATAGGGTTTAGGCTTATAGGACTCGTATCTAAGGCCGTGCTAACCACCCGCAAGCTGCTGCGAAGGTACTGCAAAGAGGTCTTCACATCCCCGGGCTTCGATACGGCTGCCTGTGCCGCAGAGCCCAGGATGCCTTTATGAATAGAGCCATGGAGACTCCATAATACGTTCTGAAGTGACCACCACCTGAAGCCCCACTCTTTCGTTTGCTTCTGTTGACCCCAAAAGATGCGGGGCAGAAAAGCAGGCAGCCGAATCCTTTTCTCCTGGCAACAAAATATGTACGTAAACTTCACAACCCTGCACAGTTCCCCCCAACCTTCGATGTAATGTAGAAGCCTAAATAGTTACCAATATAACTCCCTAGTCATATGTTGCCTTTACGGTAAAGATAGCCCATTCACATTCTAATCAATAAGGCCCCTATATGACACCTGAAGCCTCAGCAACCAAGGAGCTTGGTTGCAAGTTCGCCGGCCGACCTCCACCACCCATGGTGACCATCCTCCCTGCAGCGCAGGTTGCCGAGCATGCTCCCTGGTTAATATCATATAGAGCCTAAGTAATTGCCCATACTTTTCCTGGGGTTCTCTAGAAGAAGTATACTAGAATGTGCCCCTTAACTGCTGTTGTAGTTACGCGATTAGGGTTTCGGATTGTGGGCCTTCTTAGAACACGTGTCATCGGCATTTAAATGAGTTTGAGCCCACAAATCCTAGCCGGACCTTGCACCGAGCGCTAAGCCTCTCCAAACACTCGTAGTCTTATGCGGAAACGCACTTGCCAGAATGATGAGGATGGACACCACCAGGTCCCGTCAACCGACTGCTTCCAGCTTCGCTCTGTCGATGTGCTTATGCTGATGTTTCATAAGTTATGTTCTATATTAACCGGTATCATTCTGTTATAAAAGCACACATTATACACATATATGTTTAGCAAGAGTCCCCATTTAATGGTCGGCCTGAAGCTGGTACCGAGCCTAACACCATCCCCGGAGCTGGCACTCAAGCGATGTTGATGTTCGCTATGGCTATGAGACCCAACCCTTTAACAACGCAAGGGGAGGAGGAGCCAAAGTTGCAAGATGTTCTTAAACAAGGTGCTCTTGTAAAATGGCCAACTCCAAGAAAGTAAGGGTGTAAGTAGTGTGGGGGGGGGTCCCCCTGTAATGCGCCCCTAGCCTCGCATTGGGCCCCTTTTTCTAGTGAGAAGTCTTCCCGGCCCAACTTGTTTTGGGTGAATCCGGGCTTCCGAAATTATCGATTTTATCTCCGGCTTTCTAAAGGGATACCCGTCAACGCAACCTTTGTCCGGCCGGTAACTGTCTTCCGAGTCTATTGCTATTGCTATTGCTCTACTTACTGTTACTGCTAGACTTACTATCAACTTGTTCTTTTATTGGTATCACTGCCACCATTACTCCTACAAATACTATTGCTATTGCTGGTGCTCTAGCCGTTGCTAGTGCTATATACTATCACTCGTACTCCTGTTCTTGCTCTTACTATAACTACTGCCAGTACTAACTGGTACTAGTCCGGAGCCCGCACCCAGAACAGTCAGCATTAATCAGTCAAGAGTTTTTGTTTAGGTGAGGGGGGGCGCCACTCCCCTCGCCCCCCACCCCCTGAACTAATCAGACCCCCAAATTGCACCAAACTTCAATACAGGTTCTATAGGTCGTCTATGACACGGGTCCGTTTCAGCCAGAGGGCCGAAAAGAGCCGGAGAATACGAAGGTCGACCCCATAGGGCGTTTGCGGGGGTACGTTGTGACGGGAAAATTGTAGAGTAGTAGGTATATATAGCCGTTCAGTATAAAGTCGTATATAGATTGCTTTCACCCAGCATCAGCCCCTCAGTCATAGGTTCACACCACATCCTCGGCGTCAGCGTGCTATGATATTCCCATGGGGGACCGCTTCATTCAGCTGGGTCACTGGCGTCTGGCCGCCATTGACGACAACCACTTCAGCATCTCACATAAGGACACTCGCTTCGTAGTTTTCTAGCGTTGTAGTACTTGTACCACGGTGCTCTAGTGTTACAGCACTAGCATTGTGTTCTAGTATTATAATATATATATATATATATATATATATATTGGTATTGGCCTAGTCTAGTATTGGAGTGTTATTGTGTTGTAGTATACGCCCGTTCAGTCTTTCAGGCTCGAGTGTAGGGTGTTGAGGTTGCGGGCTTGGGTTTGAAAAACTCTCAGTCCCAGATCCTATACACCCTAAACCAGAGTGTAGAACTGAATTATAGTATGACGGTATGATGGTAGCCTAGTATTGTAGTATTGTCGCATCGTACTATGGTGTTTCTGGTAAAGGATGAGGAGGTCTCGGCATCGGGATTTCGCCTTGGGCTTCTCGGCAGGGTGGGAAAACGGCGCAGATCTTCCGCAACGATGGCACGTTGCATCCAGGGCCACGCAGTGAATCTCAGCTGCAGTTTCCAGAGGGGGGGAATTTTGTACTACATCTGGGACTCCTAGACCCCAAACACTGAAACGCTGAGCCCCTCGCTCCCCGGCGAATGACCTTGCTTCGTTTAGTCAGGATTGAGCCCTTCACCACCCAAAGCCCGCAGCCCCACACCAGGCGCCTTTCCCAAAAATGCAACCATACTACCAAAAGTCATCATAATAGTAGTAGCAACAAGAGTAATAAGGTTACAATGGTAAGAATCCAAACACTACGAATAATGTTAATTATACTAAGACTACTAATAACACTAAGTCATGGCCGTTGCGTGCCCAGAACCCTTGAGATGATGCCTTCGTTTTGTGCTGTTTTTTGGGGAAAGGTGTCCCGAGGGAGGTCGTTCGAACTCGAAGTTTGGGGAGTTTGACGGTTTGAAGATTGAAAATTTCACTCTTCGAAGGCTTGAAGATTTGGAAGGTGCAGTCAAGCACACACACACACAAATTTCAATGTCGACAGTTTCAATCGTTCAGCCTCGCAAACTTTCGAACTCCAACCGGGGAACTCTCAAAATTGTCAATTATCCAACCTCTTGTTTGGGGAGCCGAGTGACACGTCACTTGAGCAGAAAACGGCCTTGAGCCAAGGCCCAGTCTTTTATGGTCTGAAGAAGTTGAGGATGGACATGTATCTTAAACCCAGCCCCTCATGAGGCGATTGTGCTTGATCTCATATCCTAAACCCGTCCCCCCATTAGGCGGTTTATCCTATGTCTTTCCACGTCTTGAACCGCCCCTTCATTAGGTGATGGCGGTTGGTCCCCTCACAAAGCGATGGCGGTTCAGCTCATATGAGAGTTTCCGAAAATAGGGGACCCCAATATAGTACCCTACATAGTAGGATCCTCATTATAAGGACCCCCAAATAAGGTACCCCCTAATTTTCGGAAACTCCCATGTCTTTAGCCTGACCCGTCCTTGATCGATAGCGCTTGATCTCACATGTTGATTCCGCCCCTGAGCAGGCCCGGCGACGGCGGTTGAAGTCGTGTCTCAAATCCGCCGCCCCTCATTAGCTGAAACGATTGACCCCATGGATCTTATCAAACCTTAGACCCTTATATGTGCCCGCGCTCCGCGTTCTCGACCCCCCCCCCCCCCCCCCCCCCAATGGTATCCCCCCCCCCCGACCCGGGCGACCACACAACAAGAACAAGAACAAGAACAAGAAGAAGAACAGCAGCAACAACAAAGCAGCAGCAACCACGCGGAGGAACCACAGGAACCACAGGGGGGGAGGGGGGAGACAGGAACCAGAAGAACCACAAAAGGGAGGGGGAAAACCAAGAGGAACCACAGGGGGGGGGGGAACCACAGGAACCACAGGGGGGGGGAGGGGGATTACCATGGGGGGGGGAGGGGGGGGGGGGTGCGCGGATGCTGGCACATATAAACCCCGCCCCCAAAAACGGCTCCTTACTATAATTTATATATCTGCTCAGGACTATGGCGCCTGGGGCAGGTCCATCGGGGCGGCGCAGGGTATCAGCTTCGGCTTCCAGTACATCCAGGCCTTTCAGAGGGCTTTATTAGGGTTTAGGTGGGAAGGGGCTCGGTTTAGGGTTGAGGGTTTGGGGTTCGGCGGGGGGGAGAGTTTGAGGGTTCAGGGTTGCGTGGGGGTTGAGGGTTTGCGGTAAGGGGTTCCTAAACTCCAAACTTCAACATTAAAGCAGATATAAATCAGAATCAGATGGTGTGGGTTGGCGGTGTCGATGCGGGCGTAGATTGGCAATGCATGCGAGGGAAGCCAGCTGGGTTCAGCATTTGTGGGTATCAGCTTTGCTGTGTTTTCCTTCAAAAAGAATCAGATGGTGTGTAAACGGCTCCCAGTGCATCCAGGCACCTCTGAGGAGTTCTAGAATCAGCACCACACGGGGTATTTATGGTTTGTAGTGTGTTGTACTACGGTTATGAATTACGGTTGTTATACGGTTTCCAGTATGTACATTCAGGCCGCTGTATAGTTTCAGAAGGGTCCTACAAGGATTGCAGCGCTTCTGGTGGCGTTTGGAAGGCTTCCAGCACACGCAGGCACTTCCTAGCTTTGCCTTGAAAATGAGGTTATACAGGTTGCAGGTTTTGCGCATCCGCACTTCGCTGTTTTTCGAGAACGGTTCTATAGCAAGGCTTTGGAGGGGATTTGTGTTCATAGGATTCTTACGATTGTCTGGAGGGTGTGTAGGCCTTTGAACTGATTGGGGGTTCGGTTCGGGGTTTTCTGGGGGGGGGGGGGGCATGTATCACATTGATCTCTCCATCCTAAACTCTGTAGCTCCGGGACTTTAAAGCCCCAGAACATTGACCCACAGCCAAGACCCTAAGCCTCATACACCCCTACACAGCCGTAAACCAGCCCTCCTCGAACCCAAGCTCTGAACGTACATGTCGCAAAGCTGTACCGCTGTACGGGAAGGAGTAAGTGTTTCTACAAGCCCAACACTGCCCGCAGATCGGGAAGTTTCGCGTGGGAGCTGTGGACGAGAACCACCTTTCCATAGCCCACATCGGCGGCCAAACGGCACCTGAGATTGGCAACAAGATTCGGGGGCTCACAGCCGTTTCAACTCATGGTGCCCTAAGCCCGAAGCCCGAAACCCCTACTAAAGCTCATCCCGAGACCCGCAGCAACAGGGCAACTTGGGCCGAGGCTGTGGCTACTCAAGGATAAGCTCCTTCAGCTTAAAGCCCAAGCACGCCAAGCCCGAGCACCAAACCCTGAACCCTACAGTAACCCTATAAAGCCTAAACGCCCTAAACCCTACATGAACCCTAAACCAGCCCAAAAGCCCCAAGAACCAACATGAACCCTAAACCAGCCGAAAAGCCCTAAACCTTATATATGAACCCTAAACCAGCCCAAAAGCCAGAAAACCCTAAGTCCCTAAGCCCTCGCCACCCAAAGAAAGGTGCAGATCTTCCGAAATGACGGCACGCTGCACCCGGGGCCCACAACCGATTGGTCGACCTTCGACCGCCCAGAGCCTCGGTTCTTCCGCGGTGGATGCTTTGGGGTTTAGGATTTAGGGTGTAGGGTTTAGGATTTAGGATTTAGGGTTTGGGGTTAGGGTTTCTTGGGTTCAGGATTTAGGGTTTAAAGTTTAAGGTTCGGGTTTATTACATTGGGTTTAGGAGATAGGGTTTAGGGTTAGGGTTTAGTAGTGGGTGTAGGATTTCGGGTTGAAAGTTTAAGGTTAGGTTTTATTGGGTTTAGTGCGTTTGTGTTCGGGTTCTTGTGATTCTATACATAGGGATATATCACCGACACTACTCCTTCTTGTTGGGCTGCTGAACGGCCTAGGAGTCCATGCCTGCGGGCATCACTGCTGGCGACCGCTGCTCGATCTGAGTTTAAATTTGGCGGCCTAGGGCTTTAGGGTGTGAGGGTTCAGATTGTTTCAGGGGTCTTTCGAATGATCTGAACTGTATCATCTACTAAGTCTACTAATCGTTCCGAATCCAGTACTCTGCTCTACAGCTCATCCAGCGACAGAAGCTGCGCCCGAGCGAGCTCCCACCCAGGCTTCGTGCAGCTGGGAAAGTTCCGTTTGGGCGATGCCGATGGCCATCACTTCCTGGTCACTCACGACAGCGGCCGCTGGGAGACTGTTTGAGTGCTCTTAGTAGTTTGGGTATTATAGGGGCTTTAATAGTTTGAATAGGGTGTTGAGGGTTCCTTTTTAAACATATCGTCCTGCACCCTCTAATTAACTACTTATGAAGGCCCCTGCATTATGTTCTGGTCGCTTCGACTCGTGTCGGACACCAGGGTTTCTTAGACCCGGTCCAGGACAGACGATCCAGATTTATCGAGGCGATGGCACGCTGCACCCAGGCCCCGCGTGGGCGAAGACATGCAGGGTTTACTTTAGGGTTTGAAATTTAGGGTTACCCTACAAGGGCTTGAGTTAAGGGTCTGCAAGGGTTCAGGGTTTTCGGCCCAAGCTTACGGTTTACCCGCCTCCGAAATTAGAGGGAACACATCTGGGGCTTAAGCCGCAAACCTTAAACTGCATAGGGCTCGCCGCTCCCATCCCGAAGTTCCGAAAGGGCCCCTCTGTTTCTGAACAAGCTGGCCAGACTTGAGCTCGAAACCTCAAACCTCCAAACAAGTACCGGAGTCTGAGAGCCTACAGTTATTGAGGTTATAAGTATTCTGCTGCCGATGATCAATGATAACGATTCTTGTTATTAGTGTCATTACTACACCTTGTTGCAGTGAACATTGTTATTACGATGCTTAGTATCATTATTATTGCCGTTACTGTTGTTCGGACTATTACTACTTTTGTTTCTATGTACTATAACGATTACGATCGAACGGCTGAAAATATTATTGTGGTTGTTGCGGTGGTGATGTTGTGATTGCTGCTGCTGCTGCTGTTGTTGTTGTTGTTGCTGCTGCTGTTGTTGGTTGTGGTTGCTGCTGTTGTTGTCGTTGTCGTTGTCGTTGTCGTTGTCGTTGTGGTTGTTGTTGTTGTTGTTGTTGTTGTTGTTGGTGGTGGTGGTGGTGGTGGTGGTGGTGGTGGTGGTGGTGGTGGTGGTGGTGGTGGTGGTGGTGGTGGTGGTGGTGGTGGTGTTCTTGCGGGCTTGGCACGCTCGAAAAATCCGAGCTGTACTGAACAAGCCAGTGCACCTTACACACATATCGACCACTGACCTCTATGCCTCCCACGAGATCATGGATCCTGTTTGTAAGCTGCAGGCGAGACAAGCCAATCGTGTCAAGCGCCTAGGTCTTCGCCAGCAGACAACCCCTGCAGGTGATGTCTCTCTGACACAGCAGGCGCTTCATCAAGCAGAGGCGCTCTCTGCCAGGTACGCAGACGTTCTGCAACAACTCTCCGAGGACACAGCGCAGCAGGAGGCCCCTCGCTCTTTCGCATGTCCGACGTGTGCTCAGGCCTTCGACACTGAGGTTGGTCTTCGCACCCACCAGGCCCGCAAGCATCCAGGCTCGGTTCTTAGATATGTCCCTCGAGGTTTTTCCCACACTCTCTCCGTAGGAGGGCTCCCCAAGTGTGCAGCCTGCAACAGGCAATTCCCTCAAATGAAGGGCTTAAAAGATCACCTGCTATCTGGCGCCTGTTCGGAGCCAGCTAGGTTAAAGGAGCTGGATGACGCGGCGCACCCTCCCTCAGACTCGCAGCTGATGCCCCGGTTGCATCCCAGGCAGCAGCGCCTGCATGACACCTTGACTACACACACAGCTGGTGAACTAGGAAGGTTGGATGAGTCTCAGGACCTTATGTCTTATTGCTTGCTGTGTGGGTTCTGGACTCCAGACAACACCAAACTCAAATCCCACATCAGGCAGGCCCACAAGCCCGAATGGGCGGCTCATGGGGCAGCTGCCACATCACAGAGCAGCAAATCAGGTCTGGTCCTTGTCAAGGGCATGCCCTGTCCGTGCTGTCGCAAGCAGGTTACGGACAGGAGGCAGCATCCGGCACAGTGTCCGATACTGTTTCAGATTCTGTTCTATGACTTGGCTCATGATCTCTCGACACCGGGCCATGCTCCCAAACAGGACGGCAATACCGCTGTCGGAGCAACGCCCCTGACTCGCCAGGCAACACCTGCAGGCCCCTTGCCATCGAATCCGGAGGCAGAAGGATCAAAGGACGGAGCACTCGCTGCTCCCCGCTCGTTGCGCAATATCTCTAACTACTGCTATGTCAACTCTACGCTTTCGGCATTGGTGCCGACGCGCATCTTGCTTGAGCACGGAAGAGCCAGCACCTCCCTCCACCACGAAGTGGCTGACTCCGCCTCTGGTTCCCCTTTTGCCCTGACTGCCACTTTCACACTTCGTCATCTCACTCCCACCTGGCGCTATGATGGTCAACAGCAAGATGCTTCGGAGTTCCGGTAGCCTTGTTCGCTGGAATTACTGGGTTTCCAATCGCAAGACCCTGGGAAGTCAGGGATGGGCGCACTACTGAAGTAACGGATGAGGGTGGTCCGCTCGCCCTGCTGCCGGCTCCGACGGCAGCTGGCTCTCACGAACTTCAGGAGCTGATCTCTCGGTGGTCCGGTCAGCCAGTGTACGCTGCTTTTCGAGGGCAGCAACGGCTGGTGGTTCTCTCGGTGGCACGATTCGTTGAAGGTCGCAAGCTCAGTTATGCCGTAACAGGTCTACATCGCCCTGTTCAGCTCCCGCAGTGGGCCCCGACGGGCTCCGTTCAACTAGAGCACGGATGGGTCCAGTCCTGTGTCTTTCATATCGGAGACACTCCGCACAGTGGACACTATCGCTCCCTTTGGAGGAGCAACCCCGATCAACCTTGGTTCAGCACGGACGATGGTCGTCCGTCGATTCCGGCCTCAGATTCCGATCTCAGGCAAGCACGCCACGGCTGTTATGTGCTGTTAGTGCGACTTGGTTCATTACCGAGCACAGCGGAGGCTGGCCCTATGCCAGTCCATGTTTCTGATGATGAAGCTGAGGGTTCCCCTGCAGCCAGCGGCCCATTCTTCCTTTTACAGGGAGGGGGCGACCCACTGGCTCCGTGGGACCGACCTTCACCTTTGCGACCTTACGGCCCATCGCCTCTGATTGAGAGTGACCATGAGTGGGACGCCACGCAACAGGCACTCTGAGTGACGGTCCCGCGGGGTACGGCTCATCAATCATTGGTTCGTGGACATGGGACGCCATAGTCCACACTGAGGGTGTCGGAGGGTTTCTCACCCACGCCTGAGTAATATGAGCTGGCTTCTGATGTAGCTTGTAGGGTAGCTCTCTCTTTCCGTTAGCCTGTTCTCAGTGCTCTCAGGCCCAGGCCCTTTGCATTTCTGCTCTCAGACCTTCGCTCAGGTGCAAAGGCAGTCTCACACGCCCGCAATGAGCAGAGCCCGCTCCCTCAGCGTCCAATAAAATTGTTGGTGGTGTTGTTGTTGTTGCTGTTGCTGTTGCTGCTCCTGCTGCTGCTGCTGCTGCTGCTGCTGCTGGTGCTGGTGGTGCTGGTGGTGTTGTTGTCGTCGTTGTTGTTGTTGGTGGTGTTATTGTTGTTGTTGTTGTTGTTGTTGTTGTTGTTGTTGTTGTTGTTGTTGTTGTTGTTGTTGTTGTTGTTGTTGTTGTTGTTGCTGCTGCTGCTGCTGCTGCTGCTGCTGCTGCTGCTGCTGCTGGTGCTGGTGCTGGTGCTGGTGCTGGTGTTGGTGTTGTTGTTGTTGTTGTTGTTGTTGTTGTTGTTGTTGTTGTTGTTGTTGTTGTTGTTGTTGTTGTTGTTGTTGTTGTTGTTGTTGTTGTTGTTGTTGTTGTTGTTGTTGTTGTTGTTGTTGTTGTTTGTTGTTGTTGTGTTGTTGTTGTGTGTTGTTGTTGTTGTTGTGTTGTGTGTTGTTGGTGTTGTTGGTGTTGGTGTTGGTGTTGGTGTTGGTGTTGTTGTTGTTGTTGTTGTTGTTGTTGTTGTTGTTGTTGTTGTTGTTGTTGTTGTTGTTGTTGTTGTTGTTGTTGTTGTTGTCGCTGGCGTTGGCGTTGGCGTTGGTGTTGGCGTTGGCGTTGTCGTTGTCGTGTTGTTGTTGATGTTGTTGTTGTTGTTGGTGGTGGTGTGGTGGTGGTGGTGTGGTGGTGGTGGTGGTGGTGGTGTTGGTGTTGGTGTTGGTGTTGGTGTTGGTGTTGGTGTTGTTGTTGTTGTTGTTGTTGTTGTTGTTGTTGTTGTTGTTGTTGTTGTTGTTGTTGTTGTTGTTGTTGTTGTTGTTGTTGTTGTTGTTGTTGTTGTTGTTGTTGTTGTTGTTGTTGTTGTTGTTGTTGTTGTTGTTGTTGTTGTTGTTGTTGTTGTTGTTGTTGTTGTCGTCGTTGTTGTTGCAGTTTGTGGTTAAATGTGTGTTGTTTGTTGTTTGCAGGTAGTTGCTGTTGCGCCTTGTGGTTGTTGTTGACAGGTTGTTGTTTGTTGTGGGTTGGCTGTTGTTGTTTTAGGTTGTTGTTGTTGTTGTTGTTGGTTGTTGGTTGTTGGTTGTGGTTGTGGTTGTTGTTGGGGCGTTGGTGTTGGGGCGTTGGTGTTGGTGTTGGTTTTGTTGGTTGTTGGTATGTTGCTTGTGGTTTGTTGCTTGTAATTTGGTGTGTGTGTGTGTTGTTTGTTGGCTTTTGGTTTGCGGCCTTGAGCGCGTGTTGTTGTTGTCGGCGGTGGTGTTGTTGTTGGTGGTGCTGCTGCTGCCGTTGTTGCAAATGCTGGTTTCGCAGTTCATTGTTTTCGGTGTTCCTCTCATTGCCAATTATGTTTGTCGTTATTGTTAGCGACGTTTAGCGTCTTATTGTTGTGATTAGCACGATTTCACGTTCTTCTTCTTACCTTTGTTTATTGCCTTTGTCACTGTCATTACCTGTACTCCTGCTAATTTTCGGTCTTATCGGTAGTGTAATTAGTATTGTGATTTCAATATAGCCACTGCTGGTATTCCTTTGTTGCGATTATCATTATGATTGTTGTAATCGACATGATTATGGCTATTGTTGTTATATCGATAGTATTAGTATTCTTGTTATTATGATTAGTAGTAGTAGTAGGAGGAAGAGGAGGAGGTGGAGGAGGAGGAGGAGTCGTGTTGGTGGTGGTGGTGGTGGTGGTGGTGGTGGTGGTGGTGGTGGTGGTGGTGGTGGTGGTGGTGGCGGCTGTGGTGGTGGTCGTGGTGGTGGTGGTGGTGGTGGTAGTGGTAGTGGTAGTGGTCGTTGTGGTGGTCGCGGTCGTGGTAACGGTCGTGGTTGTGGTTGTGGCCGTGGTGGTGTTTTAGTTGTTTTTATTTCCATGATTAGCAGTACTGTTATGGTTAGCTTGGTGGCTGTCATCATTGCCATGATCACTGCTGCTGCCGTTTTCTCGCACCGCATCGAGGCAATGCAAGTAACCTAGCGGACCCAGCTTGTAATCCTACCAAGGTTATCTTTTTGTGAACACCCAGTCGCCCATTCGGAAAACAGCTTCTGTTTCCGTCTATATTCCCGTCAAGGTCTGTCGAACAGAGAACAATAAGCACTTGAGGATGCCGACGAACAGTCTACCCAAGGGTCTGCCTATATACGACCAGTAGCTCGACGCCCTTGTACCGTCCAACCCTGAACCCAGGATCCTAAGCCTGGTATACACCTGCAGGACCCCGTACCGACTGGACCGGGGCAATCTCCACGAGAAGCCCCAGTGCGTGGACCTGCAAGGACAGGGATGTCATGCCTCAAGCTACAAGAGGGATTGTCAGGGGATGCTGTCATCAGTTCTTCCAACCCACGCAGTAGATGCATACAGGGCTTCAGCCCTGCGAGGGTGTAAAGAGGTGTTGCGAGCTTCCCCAGTCCTCGGACTGGCGAACCCAGTCAACAATTAGGATCCCCTTGTCCCGAATGGCACGGACGACGCCTCCAAACTACCGCAAAAGCCATGAAGTCGGGACCGGACACCCCCAAAACCCCAAAGGTTTTATTGGGGCACAGGGAAGCCTTCGATTGTTTCTTCAATGGCATTTGGGGCTTCATGCTTTGGAACTTATGCAAGGACCTCAGGATCCTCAGGAATCCTCATTATGTTCTGGTAGAGTTTAGTTTACCTACCACTAATACACCACAGCCCTCTTCGAATTCTTGAGTCTCCCAGATCACGGGCCTTAACAAGCCCATAGAACTCCATTGAACATAGTAGCAATTATGTATATTGGCAATATCAATTATAGTCGTAGTCTTAAGAATTGCAGCATCCGTAGTAACAGTAACCACCCCTGAACGTGGAGTCCGCCTTGAAATCTAAGCACCTGATGTCGATGCCTGAATACTTAGAATGAGAGTTTGGTGGGGGGGGCGGGGGGGAGGGGATTATGGTACATGTATACAGTACAAGGCTTGAATATGAAACCGTAACCCGCTGCAGCATTCCCTTCTGATAACCATCCCTGGGGGGCCTTGCGGTTCTCTTGATTCTCAAAGAAGCGATCAGATGCCTGCAGGTTTTGCCGTACTTTCCAGCAGAGGCCGCATGCCTTGTGGGAGAAATCTTGCGGCGGCTCGGGGGAACACAACCCCAAACCCTAAGCCCAATGCCCCCAAACCCTCAAGCCAAGGCCGCAAAAACCCTAAACCCTAACTCACCAGGACTTGCCCGAGATAGCATACGGAGCCTGCGACAGCGGATGGGCGGGTTTTGGCGCGCCTGGGCTGAGACTGGGGTCTTTTCGGTTCAGGGCTTAGGGTTTCAAGTCTGGGGATCCTGGGTCAAGGGTTTAGGGTTATCTTCGTCGGTTTAGGGTTTATCGTTTGTGTTGGGGATCCTTCAGTTTCGGGGGTTAGAGTTCGATGGTTCTGGGGTGTGTTGGAAGTGCATTTGTTGGTGGCTGTGGGACATCCCGAAAGGTGCTCAACTTGTTCCGGGCTGCTGAGTTTAGCGATGACTGGAACATTTCAGGCTACGCCTGGCAGAGAAACCTACACCCTAAGTCCTAAACTGGAACCCCAAAACCCTGAACCCTTTAAACCCACAGCAAGCATCCTTGCTCATCCGCCCACGAGGATCGCTTCATCCAGCTGGGAGATTGGCGTCTGGCAGCGATTGATGCCACACATTTCTCGATTTCGCACAAGGACTCTGCGGCGGGTCTCAGTGTTCGAGGTTTAGGACTTTTTGGCAACCGGAGTGGAGAACTCCACATAGTTTGGGTTTCGTCCCTATAAGTTGTTGTCGTGATAGCTTGAGCACGTTGTGCGTCTCTTTTTCGTAACGCTTGAACATGTGTTGTGCTCTTATCTTCCGGGAAAGCCTGACATGTGCTGGAGTGTTGTTTTGAGAAGTTGAACAATGTTTTGCCATTTTGCTTTATCTTGCAAAGCTTGGACTGTTGTTTGATTTGAAGCAGATAGACTGTCGGGGCTTGGAGTGGGCTCTTGCCACCAGAACTTCATGTGCTTGATCGTAAGGAGCACCGAAGGAACGTCCAGTTTTTCGGAACCCCTGAAAGGGACCCTATTGTAGAACCTTACAGTACTCCTTAAAGGGGACCCTGTTGTAGAACCCTCTAGTATTTAATAAGGGGGATCCCAGGGAACCTTTGAGTGTGAGATCCTCACGGTTGTATCGTGATTATGGCCCCCCAGTGTTTGAACAGCCCGCACGTCTGGTCTTGTCATCAAGTCGTGGGTCGGACTTTGGATTTCGACTTGTGTGTTCCAGCTTCGGGTTCTCGGAAGTGTCTTCCCAGTTTCAATTGATGTCAAGACCAATCCCGATATCACCTACCCAGAAACCAGGAATGCCCTTCGCTTTGCAATTCCTGGTGTACTTACGACTCCGGTCAAGCCATGCGCGTTTGCTCCTTTGCTCCTTTCGCTACACTTCAGGCTCCTGAAGCCCTCAACACCAGAAGCCCGGAACCCCGGTGCCACGAAAGGACGGAATGACAACGCAAATCTGGCGCGCAGATGGGACCGTGCACGGCGGGCCGCGGAGTGCCTCTGGGACAGCAGCAAAGCAGGGTCTTGATGGCACGTGCTATCTGCTGTCGCTATCGATACATATGCGAAACCATGCAGCCATCCCTCCCTCGATCCGGTTTGTAATTTTGTCAACCTGCCTATCTACCTACCCACCTAGCTAGCTACCTGCCTGCTATCTCTCTGTCGCATCGTTCTATGTGATCTATCTAACGATCTGTCTATTTATGTATTTAACTACCTAGCTATCTATCGATCATAAACATAACCCTAACCCCAAACCCCCAATCAAAGACATGGAATGCGGCCAATGCGAGGGCTTGCAGGCTTCATGTTTCAAGGCTGCAGGACAAGGTCCAAGAAGTCTTTTTGTAGGGTTTAGGGTTTGGGTTTTCATTTTTTGTGCTTTGCGACTTCAAGGGTTCCGGCTTGACAGACTTGGGATGCCAATCTCAGGAGAGGAGGTACCAGTTTGGGGTTGTCGGGTACGGACGAGCAGGCTCCACGTTAAGAGTTCAGGGTCGGAAGTTGTGCTTCGAACAAAACTGCTAGCGTTAACGGAAAAGTTGATCATTTGGGTGTGGCCTGGCTTTAGGGCTTAGCAGCAGAACTGCTTGTAGTTTTCTTGCAATGTGCTTCGGATTATGTATTGGGCTTATCATTGAAAAGATTCCGCACTAATTACTTTGCATTCGAGGTACCCACAGTCGCCGGCACCACTTTAGGTGCAAAACGTTCGCATTCGTTCCCAATGTTTCGCAACATATTTATTGCACCCATCTTGCAACGGGGCATGTGTTGGTCTTGCTCTTTGTGGCGGTTTCTCTGTTGCATAGCGCTTGAAGTGTCCGTGGCGGTCCCTCTTCCGGCCTTCCGGCATGCAAGCGTGGGATTCGATTCCAAGCCCAAACGACACTTCCGGTCAGCCCTGCCGGGCGGCTTGGGAGATAGAATGGATGCTTTCGTGACACTACGTCGACCTCTTCTTTTAGATGTCATTTCCAAGGTACTGACATCAGCTTCTTATGTTATGACAAACTCTAGGCCTCGCATCCCCTACAAACGTGAATGCGGCTGGTGTAGAGTCCTTGTGCATAGAATCCTCATAGAAGTGCGTCAGCCCGGCAAAGACCCTCCATCTACCCTCTATTACACCCTAAATGCCCCCCTTATTTGGGACCATATACCCTTATTTGAGGGTACAAGGAGGGTCCTGGTTGTAACCTTGAACTCTAACTTCAACCCTCAACACCAAAGCACTATGCCACTAAGCCCCCGATGAATCCGTGGGCACAGCGAAGGATTACAATGCCTGGGGCAGACCGCTAGGCCCCAGTTGGAGGGCAAATGGCAGGGAAGCCAATTTTGAAGCGGTGTAGGGTTTAGGAGTTTCGTATGTTTACGTCCAAGGGTTTAGGGTAACGGGTATAACATACTTGGAGCTGATGGTTCAAGGTTCGTTTTTTCAGTTTATAGAGCTCTGATGTTATTCTTTGAAGTTTGGCTGAGACTTAAAGCAGAGGTTCTGAGTCGGACTTTGTTCAGTTTGGGGACCCACTTTTGAAGGGGTCAGAAGACTTCGCAATTGTATAAAAGTATCATGGTGATCCACAGACAATAGTATTAGAACGTACCCCAAAACACTCTTCGAACTACTGAGGCACGTATTTACTAGTACTCTAGCGAATTACTGATTACTACTACAACTATTGTTACTGTTCCTATGAACGTTACGATTACAATGAATGTTACTTTTGCTGCTATATCCAGGAGGTTCAGGGCTCAGGATGTGCCAACAGAAAGACTAGGCGGATGTTTGCCTGAAGGAGATGCTGAACATGTTGTAGTCGGCGACAGCATGTACTGATTGAGGCATCAGAGTTCCGGTGGATTTGAAGAGTGTTTTTAGCCCGAAGACCTAGAATGAGAACAAGCATGTTACGGGGGTTGCCGGCGCCTCCTTCCAATCCGGGACTTAATGGGAGTTGTTGATTGAGACATGTTACAATCACAAGCAGCAGACGTCCAGACACTAAATTGTGAGCTCGAGAGAGAATTCGTCAACCTTTAACAAAGGACCCCTCAATCCCCAAGCATCCCTACTGTAGGTAGGAATATCCCTGAATTTCCATGAGTGTGCCTTGTGCGAGGCTTCCCCTCCGGGATCACGTTCGGGCCCGGGTTCATTCAGATCGGGAAGTGGCGTATGGGCCAGATAGATGGGCATCACTTCAGCATCGCGCACCAGGACTGACAGGGGGAGTTTCCTTTAAGGGTTCTGTACGGCGACGCTGCTTTGTCTTGTGGTGTGAAGGCTGCAGGTTTCACGGTTGGGGGTATGTGGGAAGGGACTTAAGCATCCCTAGTAACGGCCAGGAACCAGGGGTTCAGACCCAGGACCTCTCAGCTCTTAAGCCTGAACCCTTGGCCCCCACTCAGCCCCAAGCCCTAAACCCCAAACAGTTCTAAGCCACTAACCCTGAAAGCTGAGCCCAACCAAACACCCCAAGCCGCGAAGCTTCCAAAGCCAAAGCCTGAATCTCTGTAACAAGAAGTCTAATAAAGCTCAACATCGAAAGCCTTGAAGTTGCCTTCAACCCTAAACCCTCAGACCCTCAACCCCCAAACCCTAAATCATCAAACCGTCTATAACCCCCAAATCCAAAAGCACCCCATGACTCCATGAGAAAAGGACGGCCAGACAGCCCAGATCTACCGCGGTGATGGTACCCTGCACAACGGGCCTCGCACGGACCCTTGGCGCCGGGATGTTTAGGGTTTGGCTTGCACACACAACAGGCTGATGTGTTGCAAGTTGTGGTGATGTGACGCCGGTTCTGATCGATGTTGTGAGGTTTAGCGTCTTAGGGTCTGCGCAGAGCGTGCTTCTTCCGAGGGAACACGGTTTTGCTCTTTCTTTCAGGGCAGTTCTTTTTTAACGAGGCATGTCAATGTCAAAAGTTTTCATTTTGCACGAAACAGAGATGCGGGCACATGGGGGAGGTACCATGTATGTTTGTGTGTATGTATACAGATGTTGTATGTATGTATAAAGGGGTAGTATGTATATGCATTGTAGCCTTTGTATAAAGCCCTAATCACAACTCGAAGAAAGCAGGATGTCAAGCCCAGGACTACAACGCTTGGAGTCGAAGCTCCGGGCCGGCTAACAGCGTCACGCTGCCCGGCGAAGAGACAGAAGCCTTCCTTTAGAATTTTGGGGCGAACTGACACATACTCATGCTATTCCTCACGATTCCTTCATAAGGTACACATACAACGTACCCCAACACATTCTGATTGTTTTTTCCGCGCCGGGCATGCTCTGAGACCCTTGTCGTGGGTGGGGAGTCACGTGATTTGCAGCGGTTCGTTTGCTTTGTTATTCCGTGTTCTTCTGGCTTTGACAGGTGAGCTTCAAGTTTTCGAGAAACGAGCTGGGTTCAAGTAAAGACGGAGTATCGTACACTTTACATCTTTGCAATGTAAACACCGCAGTAATCACACACTTGACAAGAACATCCCTGAACTGCTGAATTTTCCCATCTACATGCGAGGCTTCAGGATGCCGGAAGTCCAAGAAGCCAACCCTGTGAAATCCCACGAGAGGCGAACGCAACAGAAAGACACATTCTCCCGCGTGCAGGCTCTTCCCCAAAACAGCACCAGTGCAAAGTGACGAATGCTTGAGCCATACAGAGTAATTGGCCGTTTGACTCCGTCTGCTGATGCAAACGTGTTGCATAAGTCTGGGCGCCTGCCCGGCGGGCCGTAAAGAATTGTGTCGCTATAGATAGCTAACTGGATAAAGTGTTTTATTGGTTTTCATGAGGTCAGGATATTTCTCGGGAGGATTCCAAAAAAGCAGTGAAGCGTGAGCCGTAAACCTTTAGCTATCTGCTGCAAGACGCAACCATGGGTCTTTGCGGAACTCACAGGGGCAGCCCCTAAATCCCGTCTGCTTTGCCAGGGTCTGATAGGGCTGTGTTTACATAGGCAGCTTCGTATTATGTTCTACTTGAGGTTAACTACAAGTGGGATTGTATCGCTGCTTCTCGCCTATCCAGCTCCGTTGCTAAAATCCGTGAAGCAGAATGCCAGAAGCCTGCAACAACCGCAACTCTTCTCCGTGAGGGCGGGAGAGGGACTAGAGAAGTGGAACATGTTCACAACCACTGCTGTGGATGCTTTGCACCCTGCCACCATGTGCTGTCAGGTTCGGAGACCGGTTCATCCAGTTCGGAAGGTTCCGCTTCGGTGATGCGGATGGAACTCACTTCATCGTGACGCATGCCGGTGGGCAGACGATCCAGATCTACCATAAGCATGGCTCGCTTCATCCCGGCCCGCGAACCGACTGGACCGCTGCGCTGAATGACCGCTATCCGCAGTGGCACTGCGGAACGGTGCAAACCGTCTTCGGAACCTGCACGGGGATCGCGACTGGCCACAACTTCCTGCAGCTGGGCGAGTGGAGGCTTGCTGCGATCGATGGAAATCACTTCTCCGTGTCGCACCAGGTGCTTCCGTAAGGTTTAGGGACCTCCAGTACACCACCCAGTCTCGGACCGTGCTCACCTTGTGGGTAAACCCGTATCCGCTTGTTTGCAACAACTATTCCTTAGGGCCCCTTGTAACAAGTAGACGATACTAGAGGGCTAGAGGGCATATTTACGATAGTGTTCAGGAACCTTTAATATGTCAAAGTCGAAGTAAGTAGTAGCTGGTAGCTGTGCTCTTGGCTGCTGTGGCTAGTCGACCAGAACTGAAGTTTGGATCTTTAGAGTGCATCTCAACCCTAAGAAACCCAGAGGCTCGTTTTCTACGCTCTCGGGATCCTTCTCGAAAGCCCGGAACTGAAATCCAGTAGATGCAGACCCTCATATGTTGCAGCCTTATGAAACCATTGTAGTTGCCTTTGCGCAAAGCCCTTTCTAAAAGGCAGGATATGCTACGAAGACTTTACGGAAGACTCCTCAGTCATTTGGTCTGTGGGTACCCCACAGGCAGGGCAGACTTGTCAGATCTACCGCAACGATGGGACTTTGCATCCGGGTCCCAGAACTAGCTGGGGCGCGTGGCATCTCGAGACGAAGGCTTGCAAGAAAGGAGGGTTTAGGGGCTAGGGTTTCGGGATGTTTCGCGTCATTAGGGGTACGGTCGAGAGCAGTTCCTTGTAGGGGCCTTCCGGTTTGGGTGTAGATGCTTGCTTTGAAGGAGCGCAGGGGCTGGCCGTCTTGGTAATTCAGATCTTGGAAAGTCGCCATCTCGCGGCCCCTTCTCCAGCGGCTTATCAAAGAAGCCTCAAACGTTTCGATCGGTTTGGGGCTTAGAGTTTGTCGGGGCTTTAAGGGTCGATAGGGTTTTCATTAGGGGCGTTAAGAGTTTATATGATTCAGGGCTTCGGGAGTTTGGGACCACCGAATCCAGAGGAACTGAAGGGTGGGTCAGGAGCTGTAGTAATTCAGGGGCCTGCATACTTGCCAACAGAATTCCTTAGGGCTCCTTGTTACCAGTATACCTTAGCATTCCTCTATATCTGACCACCTAGTGCAGCAACTTATCTTTAACCCCCAACTCTCGACAACCAGCAACTTCAAGCCTGCACCCCAAGCCGCCGTAAACTCAAACAATGGGTGAGCCCCTCTCTCTCACCCTACACCACCTATACTCTTAGAAACCCTTGTGCTGTACAGCCTTTTAGAAGGCTCGCAAACAGCCTTGCAAGAACCAATTGAAGCTCCGCCAAGCATTCAAGAGCGCTGCAGGACGCAGGGTTTCGAGTGTGCGATTGGGGCTATTTTGACTTAGGGGCTTAACTCCAAAAGTCTCCAACGCTGTAGAATTTAGAGCCTTCTTAGAGGCAATAGAGTCCATAGAGATTTTGACTGGAAGCCTCAAAAAAACGTCCTTGCTCTAAAGACCTGACCTGCTGCTACACCCCTACACCCTAAACCCTAAAACCATACAACCAAACAACCCAAAACCTTAAATCCCTAAAACCCCAAAGCCCCAAAACCTTAAAACCCCAAAAACCTTAAAACCCCAAAACCCTACAACCCCAAACCCCCAAAAACCTCGAAGCCCCAAAACCCCAAACCCTAAAACCCGTCCCTAAACCCTGTACCTTTAAACCCTATACATCCTTACAAGGAACCCTATAGATCCCTTTAATGAGCTGCCCTGAAACCCGTGCCTTGGGCTCCGATCGACTTGGGAGCTACCACAGGAAATTTCGAACCCTAAAGGCTTGAATATGGGAGTTTCCAACAATAGGGGGTACCTTATTTGGGGTACTTATAATGAGGATCCTACTATTTAAGGTATTATATAATACCAGACCCTCCTTGTGCCCTTAAATAGGGGTATATGGTCCCAAATAAGGGGCATTTTAGGGTCTAATATAGAGGCTAGATGGAGGGTCTAGGATACGGGGCCTAAATAATTACCTGAGGTTCCCTTAAGGGGTTGCTGTACAGAGGCCTATAAGGGCTACTATAAGGGGTCTATAAGGTACTCTATAATAATGGGGCCGACAATTACCTGGGGTTCCCTTTTCAGGGATCCGTAAAGGGGCCTATAAGGGATCTAAAGCTGGGCTCTGTATTGCGCCACAGCCCTGTTCTAATCATATTAAGGCCTCTAGAGTAAACCCTAAGCCACAGGAGGTTCACAGCTCCAACCGAGTGACCTTCGGCGATCGCTTTATCCAGTTTGGGCACTTTCGAATGGGTGAGGTGGACGAGGAGCCGCTTCTCCCTGGCCCCAAAACCCGAAAGATCCCGAAAGTTTGGGGGTTTAGGGTATATGGCTGAAGCGTACAGCGTTTGGGGTTTCCTGGTTAGTGGGCGGGTAGGTTTCTGCCACTTCTCGGGGTCAGCCTCAGCCTTTCGCTTTGGTGTTACATAAGTTGAGTGCTAGACTTGTTTGGGTTCGAGGGTTTCGAGCTCCAAACCTTAAGCCCGTTATAGGGTTTAGGGTTGCGAAGCCGCACGATTCCAGGCACACTTCTCCATCTCGCACAGCGGCGGTCAGACGATCCAGATCTTCCGCAAGGATGGCACACTGCATCCGGGGCCTCGCACAGACTCTTTGAGACGAGCTGGGACTTAGGGTTAACTATAGGGGCCTTAGACCGATACTGTATTTTGGGGGGTTCCTTATTATAATTCTAACTATTAAGGCCCCTAGATTGGAGTTTAGGGTTCGGCCAAGGTGGCGATTGAAGATGTGCTGCCTGCCGTACTCTTCATAAGATTGGTGCACAAGCAAGTTCGAGAGCAAGCTTTGGTCGGCCGCAACAATCAACCCGATACAATCCTGACCAATCTTACAGTCAAAAACAAGCAGCACGCCCGGCTGCAAGGAATATGTAACTGGCCTGCACAGTCCCTGGTATAGCACACTCTTTACCATTGTTATGGCCATCCTAATCTCTGGGTCTGCACTTGAACGGGTCAGAGTCTAGGGCCAGTCTAGGGTTTGTTTTTTCCTAAATCGCTTCATAAATCGTGCCATTGCGAGGAAGACCATGACCGTTGTTCGTGATGATCTTTTCGATGGTGAGGATACTGATGACAATGAGCAAGAGGAGCAGGACAAGAACTGCAATGCTTCATGCTACCGCTGATGGTGCTGCAGCCATTGGAGTGGTAGGTGCCATGAATGTGCCTGTTCTTTTGTGGTAGCAAGTGGAGGATTAGGAGGATCCACCGCAGCAGTCTTAAAGCCTTCAAAAATCCCAACGCAAGAAGGCCCACGCTTCCACCAAGGACTATGGACTCTGGGGTCGGCAGGAAGGAGATGCCCTGGGTGTAACTTTCGGCAGCTTGGCTGTTTTGGCTTTTGCAAAGACTGCCACAAGGGGTTCTGTGAGGGTTTGGAATGCTTTTCGTAAGAATCTTCATTTCACAAGGGTTTGTTTTTAAGTTTCTCCGCAACTACGACACACGCTTGTTCAAGTAGTTGCACAAAAACTCAAACTGTAAACCCTGAAGTCGGTACTACGTATTAAGACTATACTACGTATTCTTATTATACTCATGGCTGCCCAGGGCACCTTGGAGTAGAGATGGGTGGGCTACGGAGTGCCTGATGAATTGACAGTTTAAGAAAAAAGGCCATATACGAATGTAAACAATTATAAAGCGAAATAGAATGCAACATGCAACAAAATGTTGTCTTGTCATATCTGCTACGACATACTATGCTACATTGTAATGTACTGTACGGCACTTTAATGTTACAGTACAGTAAAGTAAAGTCTGGTTCAGTATAGTATGGTATGGTATGATATCGCAAATTCAACACAGGTTCCTATATATATATATATATGTATATGACATCATGCAGTACAGTGACAGATCAGACCATATCAAATAAAATGCTGTCGTATAGGACCGTAAAACAATATATAGCATAATGCAATACAAGTCAACGCAAAATGACGACATGCAATGTTCCACTGTGTACTGGAATGCGATATAGCATGACCTCCCCCATCCAATGTAGTGTAGCATAATATGATATAAGATAAACTGCTATAACTGTCTGGTAAAACATGATAAATTCCTGTAGCTAATGTAGTTGAATACAACATAATGTACTATACCCACAGTCTATCATGTTGTATTGTGTTCGGTTATGTTATTTCTGTTACATTAAGTTATACATTGTTCGGTTATGTCATAACTTATCGCACCATGTTATGTTTGATTGTGTTATATTGATTTTGGTTATAACTATATCCTGTTTCTTGTATCGTATGGGTTGTGATGTTCACATTATCGTTCGCTGTATTGTGCCGTAGTACGGTATCATACAATGTAACTTACCACAACGCAACATCATATAGTATATACAGCGAAATATCAGTGTCGTGAGGTATAGTAATTATCGTACCGTAACATATTGCATAGCTGTAGCACAGCATAGCAGCTAAGACTGTCCAATACAATGTAAGGTGTCCTGTTTCCCCCCAAGTTAGTTCGGGCTCTCCTGTTTGGGCTCATGAGGAGAAGGTCTGACCCAGGCCGATACTTCAGAGTTTCTCAGAGCGAGCTCAAAGCTAGACTGCAGTTGTTTTCTGCATACCGCGACCCTGCCCCCCAAAAAACCAAAGCCTCTTCAGGGTCTGCATGGTCTACCTGGACCCTAGAAAGCCACTGTTTTTAAAGCTCTGTATTATGATGTCCTTATATGTCCTTATACAAGGCCTCAAAAAGGTCGGATATTTTGGGGTTAAGGTAGGGCTCAGGGACACTTTGAGCCAAGCCCAAGTTCTCTTCGAGACCCTCGACCATAACTCGACGTCACATCCTTCGCGACTTTCAACCCGAAACCTAGGCCCTCAGACGGAACAAGTCTCCGAGAATCCTCCGCAGGTGATCGGTTTGTCCAGATCGGCAACTTCCGAGTAGGCGATGTGGATGGAACGCACTTCTCTGTCACCCACGCAACTTGCCAACGATTTCGGTCAAGACGCTGAAGGTTCAGATTGATTGCGCATGGCCTACTTTAACCGACTGGAAACCAGGGTGTTTGCGCGGCCACATGGACATTCATACACGGGTTTTCCAAAACATAGATGTCATAGACAAGACAAGGGCAGAGGTAGAGAGACTTGCGGCTGAAGGTCTAAACTAGCTCTTAAGGATTTGTTGACTCTGAAAAACAGGTTCTCGAGGCCTTATAAGACAATGAACAAGTTCACTTGTGTTATGCTGTTTTCCAAGCCCGAGGTGGGTGGCAAAACCGTGGAGATTTTTCGATCGGATGGAACGTTGCATGCAGGGCCCCGGTCGGACTACACAACGTTTGGCCGACCGCTGTCGGAGTGCAAAGTCTTTTCATAATGACCCAAGTTCTGTTCGAGATGTTTCAACCTGCATAATATCGGGGCCTGAGTAGCTACCTATATTCTTTAACTTCTGGTGGTTATTATACGTCATTATCGTATAATATATCCCAAAACCCGGTTCTAACTATTCAGGCCCCTATTTTATGGATTTGCACCAAAACCGGGAGCATTTCAAAGAATGGCGCTTTGACGGTTAGACCTATGTTATCGGTGTTGGCTGGGGGCTGACAGTCGCCACCAACGGTTTGTGTAACAGGCCGGTGAGGGTTGCCATCCCTGCGGTTGCTTCTTTGTTGCGATAAAATACAGTTTTGACAGGTGCTGAAACAGCACGTGTCGCTGCATCGAGCCGGGTCACCACAGAAAGCAGAGTTGAGATGGAAAATGGGACATTTGAGAGTCTGCAACTTCGCGGCCGCTCGCAGCTCTTCACTTGTGATTGGGTATCTTGGATCGTTTGTTGTAATATCTCCCGAGGTATTATTTAGGGAACTAGCTAGGTGCGGTGCTTCAGGTCGTTTAGCTAGCCTAAGGGTTCCATCTTTTCTCTTACGGGATGCATGGCGAGGTGCTTCAGCTCGGTGCCGGTGGAAAGCCTGGGCTTTGCAACGCCTCCTCACCTTAAATCGTGTAACGATCTGACCGAAGCCTTGAATCCGATCCCTAGGGGTCCAGCAGTAAGTCGCATACATCGCCTCAGAACCAAAACGCAGGCAGAGCTCTGTCATTGTCAATATCGGCAAAGCCGAGCTCTCTCAATTTCCTTACCACCCATGTTTGGCTTGCGAACCCTTAAAAGAGAAGGGCTCTCAAGTCCTGAAGCCTGGGATCCCGCCTGAAAAAGCTGAGGACTCGCAGATGGAGTCGAGAAGGCCTCTCTTTGCTTCTGCTCGGCTGGGTTGAGGGTTTAGGCTATGGCACCACCGAGCCCTCACCGAGAAGGGGATTGCTCGCCTGGGGAGGGTTGGGACCGGGATTTGGCCTTCAAGAAAGTTCTTCACAACATTCCAAGAGCTTGGAATCTGAATGACTTCATCAAATTTGAGGGGTCTCGAGTGTGCTAGTTGTTACAGGGTTTCTAGACTCTGGGATGCAGTTGAGTTTTAGACAAGCAGGGCTTAGTGGGATTTCGCGGTTTTAGTCAGGTCATAAGGCTTGCCACTTTGCATTGTCTCGTTGTCGTCGCATGCGAGAGCCAGCCGCCGACGCTGCATTTCGTCATGAAAGGCTTGCACCTACTGTCGGGCTAGGGGCCTGAACCCCAACACCCTGTTCCAAGATTGGCCCCTGTATCAGTCAACAGGGTGCCTTACTTATCCGGGTGGTTTATGTGTATGGATTCTGGATGTTTGGGGGGCGAAGCATCATTAGGGTAATGGCCAGACTCTGCCTGCAACTCCCGCTGATTCTTCAGCTTGGCTTGACATTTTCTGGCACCAGTAGATGAAGAAGCCGAACAAAAGCTAACTGGCCTGACTGAATTTGGCTACTGTGGAATGTTTGACAGTATCAGGACCCTCAAGGCACGGCAGTTTCGAACAGCCCACATACGAATGCTGAGACGACCGTTGCTGGGCGTCCTGTGCCATCGCAACCAGAGAGCAGAGCACGCGATGTCCCCTAAACTTGTTTTAGGCCGCTCTGCTCGTGCATTGCAGCCGCAAACCCCGACACCTAAGCTTGAAGTCTACACCCTGATCTTACAAAGCCCACCTCCTACACATGCTTTTTCCATGGCCGCGGACTGCATTCTGTGCGCTCTGCCATGGGGACTGGAAACGAAGCTGGGCGGTTGGAGTGATGGTTTTGTGCCTTTAAGGTCTTGGGATTTAGGGCCCGTGAGCCTTACGCACACTGACTGAAGGCTGCCTCCCGAAACGTGCCGACATTCACGAGTTTGAGGTTTCGGCTTCCGGGGTTGCCTTGAGTTTCGCTTCAGCCTTTCCTGACATATGCCTGAAGGCACACACTCTCAAACAACACAAGGCTTCGAAGGCGAAGCCAAAAAAATGCCAAACTCTGTCCGTGAGTGACTCAGAAGAATCATATCCTGAAATCTCCTATACCCGATGAAGGTGGGGCGGTCTATGTCTATTCATTATAGTTCTTTAAACCTACAGTAAACCCCATGCCCCAAGTCAAGCCCAGCTGAGCACTGCTCCGAGGAGATCTGCTTCTACCCCCATGCCAACTACCTGGGGACAAATCTGACCTACGAAGAGTGCTGCGGCGATCCGCTGTCCCCTGGACGAGTTCTGGCTCCTTTTAGTCGTCATCACAGCCTTGGGCCTTAATCTCGGAACCCTAATGCCCTAGCCAAGACATTCCGAAGATTTCTTACTGGAGGAATGAATGAAGAGGAGTTTTAAGCATGGTTATAGATCTAGATATAGATAGAGTGCTGGTTTCTTTTGTCTCCGCTGTTTAGTTGATATTGGGGTGTTCGGGAAGCCAGTGCTCACAACACTGAGACTTCGTCCTCTTCAGGTCTAAACCCAAAACCCTAAACCCAAGATCCAAAGCCCTAAACCAGACTTCGTCAAATTCAGGTCAGGAATTGACTGCTTCGTCTCCCTCGGCGGCCTCTTCTCCTGGGACTTCTGTTGTGAGACACCGGAGCCGGACGCTTGTGGCTGGGCCTGGAGGATTGGAGGATCTTTGTGAGGCTTTCGGGTTTGGGGTTCGATTTGTGGAACCTGGTGGTGTTTACAGGTTTCAAGCTATGGAGCTTGTAGGGCGTAGGATGCGACATGTACAGACGGTGGTGTCTGTAAGCTTGCAAGTTTCGGGGTTGTCGTGAACCAGCCCGGCCCTATTGACTGTGGAGTACTTCCGAGTAAATGATCGTATCCTGCTAGCATCGAAACGCATGATGATCATGCCAAACAGCCCGAGCCAGGTAGCTGGGATCACATCCTGGCTTCCGTCGCTGCATCAACGGACGAGGTCGGCAGCACGCTCCTAGAGGCTCCGGGTTTGAAAGCTCGGATGCTAAGCCCCCTAGCCGATGTCACGTCGCCATGACAACAGGACTTTTGAAATCTTGAAACCCCAACAACCGGCTTTGAACCCCCAAAGTCCTATTCTGTTGCATGTAGCCGAGAGGCCCTGTACAGCTCCCCGATGCTGCTGCGCGAGTTTTGCTGTGTGGTCCCGGGCGACGGCTCCCATCCCTGCTGGCGCTTCTTCGCGATGGAGCCCACGGAGTTGGTCCACAATCCCTATGTCCAGTGTCGAGGCAAGAGAAGAGGGTGTAGGGATGTTTAGGGTTCAGGGTGGTTCAGGAGAAGTAGAGTCAGCAGAGGCGATTCCATGAAGCTCTTGTCTCTGCCAGTCTTGTTTACTCTCTTGCATGCAGATGCTCTTGCTGGTAGCAAGCCCGCTTCAGAAGTTAATCTGAGTTTGACTGCTTTCGCCAGTCTATACGGCAGTTGTTCCGGGGAGAAGGGAGGGCGGCATCATGTCCGTTACCTGTTATGTGGAAGTCCCGAATCAAAAAATGCAGCAAAAGTATACACGAAGCCAACGCCCAATTCTTCCGATTCTTTTGGGGCCTTGTGTTGTGCAGCTCCATATCCTCAGACTCTTTACCCGAAGCCCTCAGAGATCAAGCTTTCGCCCTGAGTTGTAAAACCCCTACTACCCAGTTACTACCCCCGAACCTGCACCCGAGGTGTTGCAACCCGATTCTCCGGCGACTCCTGGCCCAAAATCAGGAGGAGCCCTGGATGCAGGCGGGCGGCTTCTCAAAGTGCAAAAGGGGTGAGGTCAACATAGAAGCCAGAATGAGTGCCAATACTATGCCTTTGGGCTCCCTCTTGTAATTATACTAGAATATGCCTTAAAAACCCTGTTCTAATCTAATTCCTCAGACCCTGAGTCCTTGAAGCCCCCTAAGGTTAACTAAGGCCTCAACCCTGAAGTCCTAAGACCCTATGTGAACCGTAAGACGCCTGACACTACCCTGAAATAGTAACTTCCACAGTAACCCTTCAAAGGACCCCGCATAGTAACAGGAATCGTTTATCAAGGAACCCTATCGCACCCTCACTTACGGAACCTCAGGTGGAGCTGGACCGGGAGTTCGCCCCTCTCGAGGGGAAGCGATGGACCACTCGGGAACCTTGGTTGCTGAGTAGTTAACGGGGTTTGGGGCTTAGGGTTTGAAATCAGGGTTTACACATGTTTAGGGCCTCCTCGCATTCACGGTTTGACTGATGTTCGGGGTCTCCTTCTGGCATAGGTATACAATCATACTTCCATACTCAGCATAGCGCCTCAAGCCGGACATCTGGTCTCTTTTGGGCCAGGAGCTGCAGGAATACCAGAAGGCTCAAGCGGAGGGCACCCGTCCTTGCCTCGTCTCTGTTCGAGGCGCCACTGGCTTCCTAGACCCGCAATCCCCGACTGGAGCAGTAGGCTCTTCTCTACGGTGCAGTCACATGGGTGGTTATCAAAATTAGGGTCCCCTTTTTGGGTCCTGATTATACAGTGTGGTATGCCCAGTATGGTACCCAAAAAGGGGCCCTAATTTTGACAACCACCCACATAAGTGCATTGGCAGGCTTGAGGCCTGAAGGGGTCCAAGCAGCAACCTTGAGGGGTTGGAGCTGGGTGTCAGAGGGTCTCAGAATTTCAAGTACCCCAACCCCGAAGCCCCAAACCGAATCCCCAAACTCGAACCTTAAAGACAACAAAGAGGCCCAAACCCAAAATTCTACTCCGCAGTCAACAACCCAGAGATTCCGTGATGCTGGTGCGATTCCATTATTCCATAAAATGTCATAAAAAGCCAATGACCATTTCAACAATTAAGCCAGCCTTTTGAACTTTAAGGTACACTGGGCTCTCCAAAACCCCTTAAAGGAACCCTGAACCCCCTTTCCGGAACCCCCACCCCCCGATTAAGAAGCCCTTAAAGGATCCCTAAATCCCCGCCAGGTGGATACAACATTACTGTGCACGACCGCCAGGAATGCTGCCCCGAGCCTTGGGAGTCTTCATTGGCCATGTGGGAGTTTCAGAAAATAGGGGGTACCTTATTTTGGGGTCCCTACAATAAGGATCCTTACTTAGGGTACATACTGTTTTAGGGCCCCTATTTTTCGGAAACTCCAATTTCGGAATTGGGTTTAGGGCTTCGGAGTTTGGGGGTCTTGTTGGGCTTGTTGTTGGGAGGTTCTGGTTTAGAGCTTCAGCGCTTTCAGACCGGATGGAGGGGGGAGTGTGGTGGGCCGCCTTAGACCCTTATAAGGGCTTTAGGGTTTTGTTACTTGGCAGTTTAAGGGGGTTGAGGCCCTGGGATCGAACCGAGCGGCAAGGATTGGGATGTGGAGTGAGGGAAAACATAGACCTTTGCTGTCGAATTTTCTGGATGGAATCTGATAGCTGACATTTTGCTGAAGCCAGTGAGAATGTACAGGTATCGCCATGTGACAGACAACGATCGACACAGATGGCATTCACAGCTATGTCGCTATGTCTCATTCATTATCCAATCCATTTGCCCACGGAGTCGTAACTTGCAGCCCAGCAGCTGAATCGCAACTTTCAGCGAAGTCCAGACACATCGTTTGAATTCGAGGCAAAACGTACTGTCTGCAGAGTCCCCGCCATAGAGTTCCCGAGCCCTAACTCCTAGGAGCCCTTCTACGACTGCTCCTACATCATCGCCGTAGCCAGTGCTCTGTCCATCGTGGGGAGACTGGAGGTCCTGTTGCTCGGCTGTTTGATTCTATTTCTTTAATACTACATCATAGTATAGTAATTATCTACTATAACTTAATACGAAATCTAGCTGTGGTGATTTTTGAATAGGGCTGGCCTAGGTGCAGGATGGCGATGGTAGCTCCTGCGAAGCCCAAGCAGGCCCACAAGGCCCTTTGCAGGCCCATGTGCAACCACCCAGAACTCTCAACCCTAAGCCGCTGCCCTGAACAACCCTAAACACCCTGCAAGGCCCGATGTGGATCTCCTGGTGAGTCCGAGCAACTTGGTTGAAGCACATTTTGCAGGCAGGAGTTTCTCTAAGGTGGGGTTCTTGTGGGGTCCTTGTCAAGCTATCAAGGAGCGACAGGTTCTGCTGAGATCCACAAACGGAGCCTGCGTGCTGTTGAATCGTCGATATCATGAGCGCCGTTAGACCGACCCTAAAACTTTAAGACCCCGAAGACTTAAGCGCTCTGAAGGCAAGCGTTGATCAAAACTGCAACGGAGCCGTTTCAGCGGACCTGCATGATAGGGCTCTGTATAACATGTTTCTTATGGTGAAGTATAGGCTATCACACAGCAGTGTTCCAATCATCGACCCTAACATCATGGCACCCGTGTTGTAACCCGCAAAGGAGGCCTTTTTATGATCAACGACCCGATATTAAGGCACTTTCGAAACGCCTACAGGAACCCTAAACCCTGCAACCCCTCACAAACCCTATTCGACTTATTCAGGGCCCATGCTGGCGCTTAAGGCCCCTCCCGTGGTCACCCCCCCGGTTCCTTGTTATAGTACTACCAGAATCTACCCCAGTATACCATAAGTACATTACGTTGTATTCTAATGCAGCATGGTCTTCAGGCCACTTTCAGACAATATAAGGGCCTGAATAATTACATGTACTGTTCTGGGGGTTTTATTATCAGTATAGTAGAAGGGACCCCAAAACCCTCTTCTCCCTATTCTAGATCCCTTGTAGACCCCCTTTCAGGAATCCTTTAAAGGAGCCCTATTCTAACTCTTAAGGCCACTTTCAAACACTCCAAGGTAACACCAATCGCGCCTTCGCCTCGGTCCCCGTCTTCACCCGACATCGGCCCCGTGAGCCCAGGAGCTACGGAACCTGCCATGGATACACAAGTATACACAGATGTAGACGCCTATAAGTCTATTATTACATATTTCGTATTTCGTATGCATATATATGTATATATATATATATATGTGTGTCTACAAAGAGGATGGATAGATAGATGGATCCACGGGTACACATGTCTATACGTCCCAATCTCTCTCTCTCTCTCTCCCCTCTTTCTCAGTCTCTTTCTCTGTCGAAATATGTGCGTACATGTACACATTACACGTACAGAGAATTCTATGCAATGTATAACTATGTGAATGTTTCAAGACATAAATATATATATATATATATATGTGCATGCAATGAGAAGCACATAAACATGTACACATCTACATCTACATAGACATGTACGTTTACATATACGGATATACACATACATACTTATGCATATATACATCTGCATACCGATGGATCATGGATTACACAATGTGCAGAGTGCAGACTTCTCCGTGCTGTACACTGTCACGGAACACAATGGTCTCATATTCCCCCATCTCTCTGCTGTAGGTAGGGTTGGGTAGATGGATGAACTTACTTGAGGGAATCTCTCATCTTGTAAGAGAGGAGCCACTATGTCCTTTTGCCAATGGAGTGGCAGCTCTCTCCTGGCCAGGCCTGCAAGTCAAAGGTTCATTGAAAGTATCTGCGGTCCTGGGTCGCAGCATCCAGACTTGGACACGCCCCAAATTCAGCCCGAGAGGGCCAAACAGCCTAAGTTCTTGGGGAGTTCTTATGCCGGAGATTTTGCAAGCATTGAAGTAGTGAAGCGTAGACATCGGTCAGCGGCCAGGGGCGAAAGCAGACGGTGGCTGCGCCCTCGAAAAGCGTTTAGAAGCTTGTGCTGTATGATTTACTTGCTTTGGTTTCGCTATGGTTTCAGGCTTTTTGATTCATGCTAGGCAACTATTGACTATAGATATACACTAGCGTACAGGCAACTTCTAATGCAAGCCACCTCGGTGTAGGGTTTAGGGTTAAGGGACCCGAAACCCTAAACCGACCGAGGTGCAGCGCAGTGGTGCAGACACTCCCTGGGAGAACCGCCCCAGGCGAGGCTTCGACAAGCTTTCATGGAGGGTATTGGGTGCAGTCCGGGCCCCAAAAGCCTTAAACCTGATCTGCTGAACCCTAACCCTGAGGCCCCAAGCCCGAAATTCTAGACCCTAAGCCCTAAATACAGCTCGTGAGCCCTCTGGGCCCAAGTAAGAAAGTCTGAACCCATAGGGGCATACAGTAGTGGGAACCTAAGCCCCACAGCCCAAAAACCCTATGACCTCTAAACCCGATAACCTCGAAACCCTATAACATCGAAAACCGATAGCCTCGACATCCTGTAAGTACTTGAACTCTTCGAACCCCTGAAGTGTTTTATAAAAACAGATAACCTCGAAACCCGATAGGTACCTGAACTCCTAGAACAACTCCTGAAGCCCTATTAAACCCTTTAAGTACTCGAACTCTTCGAACCCCTGAGCCTCCCCTCATTAAGGCCCCTATAGTACCTGAACTCCTTGGTTTTTTGGGGCTTCCGCCGAGCCGCAGGAGTCTCTTCTGGCGCGGCTCCAACTCCAACTGTTTCTGAGCTCTTGACAAGGAATTATTTTAGTTATACCACAATCTGGGGATCTATACGGAATTTATACATTCCCTATAGATCCCTTGTTGTTTCAGTCACCATAATTGGGATCTATAAGGGCTCCTTAAAGGGATCTATGAGGGCTCCCTTAAGGGTTTAGGGTTACCATTATAAGGATCCATAGCAAATAATATGGTTTCCTTATAATGGCAACTTAAACTAATTTTAACAAAACCCAGGTTTAGTTAGCTGCGACCTCCCGCGTGTCAGCGACGGCTTACAGGTGCCGGGGTTTGGGGTTTAGGGCCAACGCAAGAGTTTTTTTCTTCTTCGAAGCAGAAGGCAATTGCAGGCAGAGGCATTTCCGGTATCTTATACGTATGACTTACGGGTTTTGGATTCACTTCCAAGTGCCTTCAGATACTGTTGACGATGACGCTTACGAGAATGACAGCAAATTAACCAGAGGAGCAGAAGCAACAGAAGAATCCGTATTCCCTTCCGGTCTTTTGGCTCCGAACCTTCCATGGGCTTGGGGAGTTTGTTCCCCGACTTTCGTTGTGTGTTGCCCTACCTAAGCCTACTTCTGCGAGCCGTCGACTTCTGTAGGTCAAGTAAATCTAGACGGTTCCCCTTGGTTTCGAGTTCAGGTTTCGGGTCCGTTTCGTGCAAGTTTCGATCACGAGGAAACCTTGCTTGTCGAGGGAGCTCATGGGCACCCGAGAATGTACTTGCTGGCTTGTAAGACACCTGAAGATTCTGATGCCTTCCTTCAGCGGGAAGGTTTGTTCCACGGAACATATCCTCCACGGGCGGTTCCGTCGACGGGTGCTCGCCTTGAGGGTTAAGCTCAGAATTGAGATTGAAGCCCGTCAAAGGCACATACCCCGAATGCTCTCCACAACAGCACCCATTCAGCCTCTACTTGACAGGCCTTCGGCGACTGCCTCGAATCCTACGACTGCCAGACACTTGAACATTATTCGTTGATGTCGAGGTGTTTTCCGCGGTTTCACAGAATTGATGCGAGTTTAGACTTGGTAGGATTTCGGATGTCAGCCTGCCAGTCTGGCTCTTCAACGGTATTTTCCAGGACACCTTGGTCTATGTCGAACTGGCTGACGATGCCCCGGGGCCGTTTGCTCCGGCTGTCGCAGCTTTACCCCGAGCACCTTGAAGGAACTTGAGGGAAAGGGAACTTCGAGCCTTCTTGTCGTTGTCGTTCATCGATGTTCATTTCGACAGTTTTGTTTAAGTTTCGTCTCTGTTACAGCTGTTTTGCTCCCAGCCTTATCTTCGTCGTTGTGACTGATCCCTTTGACCGCGAAACCCGTGTGAAAGCCTGTAGGGCTTAAAGATTTGGCGAAGCTTTGCCCAACTCTGAGCCTTTTGTCCAGAACACCTCTCCAGAAAACACTTCAAAATCGGATATCCGGAGTCGGAACCGTCGTCGAACAGCATCCTACGGCTTAGAAGCTTTAGGGTTGAGCTTGGGTGATCATTCTTCTTACAGTTGCAACACCAAAGGAGTTGCCGATCCCAACGATTTCCGGAACCTCGAAGCTGGTCGCTGCTTTTCTCCCTCTCTGTTTGCTGCCCTGTCATCGTACTCCCCGCATGGACAATGCATCCTGAAAGCCAGAGCCCTTGCATAACCAGAGCCCTAGAACCTCTGGAAACTGGTACCTCGAGAACCTTGCTACTCAATACCTGATTCCGCTTTTCCGGCGCTTGATTCTCAGCAGCCAAGACTCATCAACGCGCGCTTCACCGGGAAGTCGCAGCAAATGGAAGACGAGCTTCCCGGCCGTTAGCCCGTAAGCTGCCCAGAGGTAACTGGGAAGCTCCAAGCTCCTTCAGCCTTCGCGAAGCTCCATGCTCTCAAACCCCGTGCTTTCTGTCGTAGCACTCCTTTTCTATGATTATAGCAGCCAGCTCCAAAGCTTTCTTCGGAGAGAAACACCCCCGATTCGAGACCTTCCCAAACCAAGGCTCTGGGACTTCTGCGTGGAGTCCAACCTCACCGACGAGTTTTCGAGCCAGCAGGAGCAGGCGGATCGTTTCCCAAAAAGCCCTGAATCTTTCAGGTTCCTTGCTTACCTCAAGTGTCCCTTGTAAAGTGTGGCCCAGCATGTGGCTTTCGGGTAGCGGGTACTTCAGTTTGGGACTCTTGGTTTCAGGGTGTTTGGACCCTGCGCAGACGGACCTACAGTAAGCACAAGGCCCTAGAACAACCCTGAAGCCTGAAGCCCCAGGAAGCATCAGCCCCGTACAAATCCCTCAACCACAAGCCCTAAACCGGATGGCCTTATAATGAGACATCTCCTTGTAGTCCTCATATACTTATGGTCTACTATACTCCCAAACCCTAATTATGTAGCGATTATGTCCCGTAAACTGGAGATTTATAGCAGCCCTTCTGTCGAACCCGGAGCCCGCTTCTAGTAACTAGTGTATTTGGGTTCCCATATCATGAATATTTGGGGTCCCATAAAATTAGGCTCCTTTGAGACCCAGGGCTACTATGGGTTTGCCATCAACGTCGACGGTACCGGAAGCGGCGATCGAACGTACTGGCAGATCTTTGCTGGCTGTGTTGCTCGGATGAAGCTTTTTTTGGGGGGTTGCTAAACGAAGCCTTGTAGGTTCCTAAACGAGCCCTTTTAGATGTTCTACGGTAAGTAAAGCACTTTTATAGGACCCTGTCAGAGCCTTGTAAAGTATCCTTGCGCCAGATACTTCGAAGCCCCCGCCCCTACAGCTCCGAACCTCAGGCCTGGAGAGGTGCAACATAGGGGCGTTAATAATAAGAACAGGGTTTTGGGGCACCCCCCCCCCCAAAAAAAAAGTATCGGTACTTAATTAGGCCTCTATAGTAGGTTGTTGAAGTGGCCATCAATCGTAGTGCACGGGGTTTCCCGGTACTTCGCAGTGCAGAGCCTATAGGCCTCGACTGTGAACTCCGGATGTTCAGGGATCCCCCAGTCAAGAAACGGTACAGAGCCCTTAGCCCTCCAATTTCCTGCAGGTCAAAAATATAATTTATACAATATGTAATGGGCAGTATACAATATATATTATACCATGTACCATATATAATATATAAATTGAAAAGCACGCGCACATCAACCATTGAAGCCTACGCCCCTGTAGAGATGGTACCTCAGCGAGGGGATGTTCAGGTGCTTGCTTGTGCTCTTATACCCAAACAGGTAGCTCTTTGGGATATTGCTTTTCTACTGTATCAAGTTGAAGACCATTTTTCTTGAGGCTTCTTAAGAGGACCAGCCTAGTCAAGCCATAGACTTAAAAACGCATACGAAAAGCCTCACAGAACCATGACGAAACATGCGGTAAAAAGTATCCTGACAGAAGCCCCAACCCCAATGATATCTTCACAGACCCTATAAACTTATGCTACACTTTACCAAGCACATGCTAGTCCAATTCTAGAGCGGCCCCTTTCGCAGCCAAACTATGAGGTGGCCGACGTCCCCAAGACCCTAAACCCTAAGACACCCTCGGATTAGAAACCCACCCCAGGTGGTCCTGGTGCAGGACAGCCCCTGGGTGTCTTGGCTCGTTGGGGAAATCGGCGGGCCTGCCGCACTGGTGCCCGGAGAGCACTACATCCCCATCCGCCACCGGGCTTTGATAGACTAAAGGCCTTGAGGTGTTGGGGGTTTATGTTTTGGGATTCAGGGTTTTGCGGCGGTTGAACATGGTGTTTGAAGAGCCCCCGAAAAAAACTCAGACCCGGAGACCCGATTCTTCAAGGTTTCAAGGCTCGTGCAGTCAAAAGCCTCCAAATCCTAGATGTAGACTCAACCGTCAGCCCCGCTCCTAAGATATCTGGGAGGAGAGGTAGTAGGATGAGCATATTCTGAGCTGAGCAAGAGCTTTCTAAGATCCTTACTTGGCTGGCTTACAGAAACTCCAAAGTTGAAGACGGTTGCTTTGATTGAGGGGCTCCTCTAATGGGTTCCTTTAAGGGGCTCCTTTAAGAGAGGGGGCCTTGGCCTCTTTTGAAGCGAGGCTATGACCTCATGGACCTGGTGAGCAAGCTGAACTTTCTGCACCCTCGGATGCGATCAGAAAGCAGCTGTCGGAATCACGTGGTGCAGATTAGGGCTCCGTTTAATTCAGGGTGTTTTTTTGTTCAGGGTGTTGGGGTTGGGAGTCTAGGATTTGGGGTTTGGTCTGTCGTGTGGTTAGGGTTTACGGTCAAGCTCCGGAAGTTTGGTGCTTCTTAGCGTTGCTGCTCTTAGGAATTATCTTTCATTTTCTTATTAACTAGAATTATACAGTAACTCCGCTGGGATTAAGAAGAATAGTGGTTTTATTCTGGTTCTAAGGGCGGCTACGTCTTGTGACTGGGATTGGGAGGGGCTCGCAAGGCCCTTCACCTGAAGGTGCCTTGTATCTCTTCAACCAGAAACTCTGGGGCCCGTTATCTTACAGGCAAAACCACTACTGGGGGTGCAGAGTTTTGGAGTTTATGGGTCTACAGCGGTTTACAGTTTCGAGTGCCTTTAACATGGCATGAAATGCCCTCAACCCCAAACTCCGCTCCACCGAATTGCGTGCCGAAGCCCAGCTTAGACCTGCTGATCTCGAAAAAACGGCCCTTTCTGCAAGGCAGGAGCAGGAAGAGGAGGACCGACCCTTTGACCTTGCAGGGCCATGTGGGCGGTTGTCAAAATTATGGTCCCTTCTTGGGTCCCTAGAATACGGCACCTAATATTTAAGGTACCCCAAAAAGGGGCCATAATTTTGACAACCACCCATGTAGTACATCTACAGAATCTACAGGGTTCCGGGTCCAGAGCCTCGGGTTTGCATTTGATGGAATCGCCGTGTCCCGTGAGCAGTACCCCACATACCCAAGTCTATGACCTTCCAAGTTGTTTCTTCAGACGTCAACAGTTTCTTACCCAAGTCCTTGCTGGGATCCTTCTGGTACTACTCCCACTCCCACTCCTACTCGCGCTCGTACCCCTACTCCCGCCACTACTGCTACTCCGATTCCGGCTCATACCCCTGTTTCTATTCCTACAGCGAAACTTACTCTCACCCTCCTCCTCCCATGCTTCACATCTTTCTCCCATTCTCAGTACTGCGACGACGACGAAAAGCACTGCCTGTGCTGCTGCTGTTTTGCGGTTTACTTTTGCCTGACGGTGATGTCACAATGTCTGATCAGTCGCAATTGCCTTTGCGATCACTGATTCCAAGCCCCCCGATACTTCCCAGCGAAGATCACCGCGAATCACGACACCAAAGGGCCTGAATGAAATTGAGATACGATGCAGATCTATGGTTATGATGATGATGGTGTTTAACCTGAAAGCTTCCAAGAGTCATCGTGGAAGCAAGCACTTTGTTGCCAAGCGCTGGCAAACTCCACACCTAGGAGGCCCCCAGCCATCCCTCAAGCTTCAGACATTCAAGCTTCTCACATACCTTAACCCTGAATAGCCTACCTTTTTAGGGATCCTTGTTATGATTTCCTTATATAAGTCCTCAAAAAGGTAGACTCTTCCGGGTTAAGGTAAAATCTACATACTCTTAACCCCGAGCCTCTTCATGAATCCCTTCGAAGGGTCTTCCAACTGCCAGGCCAAGCAGCTGGCCGAACGAAGCGAGCGGTGGGCCAGGAAATACTTGAGCTACGACTGGGCCCCCTGTCCAATAGTCTTACCTTTGGTTAGTAGTTAATGGAAGAATGGGGTACCATTATAACTACTATTACTACCATTCTTCCATTCCCTACTACCAAAGGTAAGTAGTTCAGGCTTTCGGCTTTGGGGCACTTGTCCGATAGTTCGTGACATGGATTTGTGGGGCTGGAAGGAGGCGCGAGGTCTGCATACCCAAAGTCGTGCTAGGAATTAGTGTGGTTCTAGGGTTTCAGCAGCCTAGCATTCTTCATAGATCTGAAGGTATGTCTTGAGCTGATATTGTGTGACCGAAGGTGCTCTTCTATCTCGACCGCGCTGTACGAAGGTGCCTTGGGTCTGGTTTGGATGCAGGGTTTCGGCTCCGGGTCTCATTGGGGGGGATTGCTTAGAAGCTGCCCCCACCCTGTAATAGTGACTATAAGGATTATATTAGGGCCCTATTATATATTATACCACTATTACAGGGTGGGGGCCCCTTCTAAGGGATTGGTATCAAGTAGCCAGCTCCATCTGGAATTTTTGGCTTCAAAACTCCATTCGACACGCCGGTAAGTGGGACTTGTTCGGCGGCTGGCTGTAGAAGCGGCCATGAATCCAGGCGTGGTTGGTGGAGTTCCGGGGATCGTACCTGCGGGACTCGAGCAACTTGTAAGTCGTAAGCAGGGTCATAGATAAGGTTTTACAGCTATACCATACCTACTAAGAAATGCTCGATGAAGGAATTGAAACAAGAAGTACTTGTAGCTACCCATGAACTTCGACCGAGGTATGCGAATCACATCGACGCCTCGGTGCTCTTGGACTTCTGAGCATCTTGAGAGCAGAGCTTCGCATCGGTGAGATCGCGCCCACTTGAGCAGCCGAGGTGGACTGCTTGCGAAATTTCGAAACCTGCAAGGGGTCTGCGGGTTTGGGGCTCAGGGTAACTGCTCTTGATACCTTTTGGTAGACTTTGGGGCGTTGAGTCGCCAACGGATTCAGAAACCGCCAGTATGCGGCAGAGGAACGTTTCATCAGGGCTTAGTTATAGAAGGCTGTTCCTGGATGAACTTGAGTGGGCTTGCCCAAAGAGGAAGGCGTTGGCTGTCACGCGCAACAAGCACCAAGAATCAAGTTGAATCACGCCCACAAGCCTAGTGTAAAGCCAGACCCTGCATCCTTGCGCGGCCTAGAACTACAAAGCCCTTTCAGGAATGCTCCATTTCCGAAGGCCGCGAGGCGTCGCGGAGCGTTGGAGCTCGCAAGAGGGCCAAAGAGTCCTTGCGAGGGACTCCAGGAAAAGGCTGTAGTTTGTGCATCATTATCAGCCTGTTCATACCGATTGTTAGTGTCTTTTTCGACGCAGCACTTGACACTTGAGCCGTCTGCATGCTTCCGCAGAAAACGGCGCGGGCAGCCGTGTGACCGTTACGGCTGCAAGTCTTCATCAAAACAATCATCTGCATGCTTGTCCCGATACCATGGCGCCCTGGACCCTATAATCTTAAACCGGAAGCCACGCATGCACTGAGCCCGGCGCCCGAGAACCTTGAAACGCAGCCTTTTAGGTCCAACGCATCCCTTCCGGACGGTACAAGTATCATATCTGTTTCGTTAGGGTTCCTTGTTGTGGATTCGCACAAGCTTCCGCAAAACCCTATTCTGAGCTGTAGGAAATTTCTCTGGTCCTAGGAGCGCACGGAGGGACCCGTCTATCAAACAACTTAAAATACTGACCAAGTCCGTCCCAAACTGCTCTGGGGCTTGGGCACATGTTCGGTGTAGGGTGTAGGGTCGCAGTTCTCCTCTCTTAGACTCTTCGGGCGAGACGATCACAAAGGTTCACAATACACCGATGGTGCAGTCATCTTGCTAGCAACGGCAAAATCAACCTTCATGTTTCTCGCGGCTGCGGAGCCCCTGTTTCTCAATTAGGTAAAGCCGCTTCAGACCCCGAAACCCTTACTTGGAGTTTCATGTGTAGTCATGTCATATCAAAACCCCCCTGATCCAACCCTTAACCCGAAAAACCAAAACACATCGGATCTGCAAAGGTCCCGAAGCAAGCACCTCCCCCCCCTCCGTCGCACCTTCTAGTGCGAAGCTCAGAACTTGGACCGATGCGCACGGGTTCAAGGTCTAGGGTGTACTAACACCAAGGTTGACGTCGTTGCGTACGAGTGTTTAGGGCCTTTGAGTGCGGGGGTGTTTTGGACTTTATAGGGTTCAGGCTCCATGAACCCTACGAAAGCCCGTTTCTTTTGTTTTTCTGGTTCCTTGTTGTGAACCCCTTGTCATGGCTCCTTCCAAAGAGGCGGGGGGTTCAGGGGGTTCAAGTAATATAGGGGCCTAAATGATTACCCAAACTATTTTAGGCCTAAATCCGACATTTGTTGTCCCCCTCAACGTCTATGCCGCAAAATAGCAAGTAGGTCCTCAAGGTCTAAGAGAGGGTGGACGGAGGGTCTAGGCAGTAAGTTGTCCTGAAGCTTACTTCCCAAACCTTTGAACCTTCCCAGACCCCCCAAGTGCTCTCTGGTACATCCTAAACACACACTATTAAGAGCCATAAGGACTCTATTAAAAGGCTCTTGGGGTTCCTGGTTGATCCGAAACGGTGATCCTTACCCGAGGCTCAAGAACGAAATTTGCCGTGACTTTTTCTTTTCGCTTTCGATTCCTTGGAGGGTGTAACAAGATAAGGCAGAATTCGCAGTGACAACTTCCTTTACCTTGCGATTCCGGGACTCTTGTCCGTTTGCCTGGAGGGTGCAACAAGAACAAACAGAATTCGCCGTGACAGTTTCCTTACCCTTCTGGTTGCTTGGAGGCTGCAACAAGGACAGACAGAAGTCGCCGTGACGATTTCCTTGCTTTTCCGATTGCATGGGTGGTGCAACAAGAACAGACAGGCTTGGCCGTGACAGTTTCCTTACCGCTCCGATTGTTTCGAGGGTGCAACGAGAACAAACAGAATTTGCCTTGACAGTTTCCTGATCCTGCCGCTTGCCTTGGAGAGTGCAACGAGAACAGACAGAATTCGCCGTGACATTTTCCTTACCCTTCCGTTTGCTTGGTGAGATAAACAAGGACGACAGATATCGCCGTGACAGTTTCCTTACCCTTCCGATTGCTTGGAGGGTGCAGCGAGAACAGACAGAATTCGCCGTGACAGTTTCATTACCCATCCGGTTGCTTAGAGAGTGCAACAAGATAAACAGAATTCGCAGTGACAGTTTCCTTACCGTTTCGATTTCTCGGAGGGTGCAGCAAGAACAGACAGAGTCTGCCGTGACGTTTTCCCTTGCCTTTCCGTTTGCATGGAGGGTGCAACAAGAACAGACAGACTTCGCCGTGGTAGTTTCCTTACCCTTCCGATTGTTTCGAGCGTGCAACAAGAACAAACAAAATTCGCCGCGACACTTTCCTTACATTTTTCGATTGCTTTAGCAAATTTCGCATGAATTGTCCTTGGACTTGCAGGGAAAGCGATATTCGCTTTGACAGTTTCCAATTGTCTCAAAGCTTTCGGATTGCCTGGAGTGTGCAGCAAGGACAAATAAAATTTGCCGGGACAGTTTCTTGTGCTGCCGATTGCTTGGTGGACGCAAAATGAACAGCCAAAATTCACCGCACTGTTGCAGAGGTTACCGTAGGAACCATAGAACTGCTAGGCTGTATGATCCTACGGGAAATCGTCGAAGCTACCTACCATTGTTTAGGGTGCCTATGTATTCCATATGATAAGGCTTATGGCATGGCTGACAATCTGACTCGGGTTGAGGCTGAGGGTTTGGGGGTTAGGGTGCTGCGGTTCTGATTTTGGCTTCCGTTTGAGGTGCCTAGGGTCGGCTGTGGGGAAGTTCTCATGAAGCAAATACATCCTCCTACACTCTACATTATTCTGAGTTCTCAAGCACTGCATATCCGAGATGCAGATAGGCAGCAAGACAGGCAGATGCTGAGAATCTTAACCCGCTCTCTTCCCGCATACAATGCCATATCTCCCTAGCACCCTGCTGCAAGTTACCTGTTTGTAGAGCCCTTGCACACCTCAAAGGGCACCTGCGTCCCGAGGAAGCCCGGTACTCAAGCAGAAATGTGCTTGTAGGGCTTTGAGGGTGCCTTTCAGGGTTCCTCTAAGGGTCTAGGGTTTTGTGTTGTGTTGCTTGTTGGTTTACAGTTTAATGTTTAGTTTTGGTGTTGTTTGTCTAGTGGTTGTCAGGGTTACTTCAAGGGTTCCCTGAAGGTGTCTTAGGGGTTTGAGTCTTGGGGCAGGGATTTGAGGCTTTGGGGCTGTCGGGGTTTAGGTTTACACAGCTTTACGTTTAGAGGCTACAAAAGGGTCTATGTTATATATGTGTTCTGGGCTTAGGCGTTCTGGTTTAGGCCTTAAGTGCTTCGAGTCCGGATCTGAGATAGGCGTTTAACGGTCCGCAACAGGGTATCTTTCGTGTTTCATCCTCTTGTACATTCCAGCAAGCTCATGCTTGTTTTTATGGGTAGTCGATGGTATAGGGTCAGGCACACACTACCTTTTCACTTCATGCTGTCCGCATATCTTTGTTCCGAGTCTGTGGATGGGTTGCCACTCAGTGAGACTTCCATTCTAAATAATGTTCCGACTTGGAGCATTCTCCAAACTATGGGTGGTGATCCTGCATCCTTGAACCCTCAATGCTGAAACAGGTCGACCGAAGTGGCGATTTGCTCAAGTTACCACTAAATCGTGAGCATACCATCTTGCTCTGATCTTACCGCAAGCGATGCAGCTCTTGATCTTCATCGCTGCCGTGACCCTTGCTTATGCTGACCACTGCACCGATCCACTTGCGGCACCTGCAACGGCCTCATCTCTGTTGCAGCAGGCGCATGCAACACAAGCGCATCAGCCCCATGGGCTGTTTGGGACGAAGGGCATGTCCAACATGGAAATGCAGAGCTCCTCTACTGCCGCAGGATTCTTGTCGATCCTCGTGTCGTCTCTGAAAGCAATTGGTGTTGCAGCTTCCGTCATCGCTGTAGGGGTGCTGGCTACCCGGCAGGGCATCATCACCTTGGCGGTGCGAAAGGCCATGGGGGAAATCACCATGAAGCTGGCAATTCCTGCACTGTTGTTCTCCCGCATCCTCTACTGCGACCAGTGCAATACGGGTGGGAATCAGTGCGCACCTTGTCAGCCTTTTGTGAGCATCATCCTGAGCAGCTGGATCCTCTTCCTCCTGCCGATCGTGGTTGTAGGTCTTGGCGTGCTGTTGGGAAAGACGGCATCAGTTTTAACGTCTGCACCCAGCGATTTCTCCCGGGGGACCGTTTGTGCTGTGGCCTTCGGCAACTCAACAGGTTTGCCGATTGTTCTTTTGTCAGTGATCTCCTTGGGCACTCCAGCCACTGGGAGTATGGGCAGCATCGACCCGCTTCTGCGCCTTCCAGTTTACTTAATGCTCTATCCCGTCCTTCAGTGGGGAGTTGGGCGTTACCTCCTCAAAGAAGACGAGGAAAAAGGAGAGAGTTTTGGGCTTCGGGCCATGCTCGAGCAGGCCCTTGTACCTCCGGTCATTGCTGCGCTCCTTGGTTTGGTCATTGGCGTATCACCGGTGAGGGCTTGGATGGTGGATGTCTTCGACCAAGATAACGATGCACCTCTGACCTGGCTCTATGATGGCATCTACAAGCTTGGGGATGCGGCCGTGCCTCTTAACCTCCTTGTCTTGGGCAGCGCTCTCTCTAAAGGGGCAAACTTTGAAGCTCTTCCGATCAGGGTGGGAGTGGCCATCGTGCTCTGCAAGTTGGTCTTGATGCCACTCTGCATGAGTCTCATCGTCTATGGGCTCATCCGCATTGGGCCCAAGGATCCTTCCTTGTGGCTGGTGGCTTTGATCGTCAGCTGCACGCCTACCGCCAACAATGTCGCAGTGATGGCTGAATCAGGTGGCCAGAACAAGGATGCCATGTCTACAGCCATCTTCTTACAGTACCTGGTTGCGCCCTTATGCGTGGCAACCTCAATTGCATATTTCAACATGCTCCTTTCCTCCACGTGGTACTTGCCAGCCATGTAGCTGCTTGTACTTGGAGGATCATGGGACTTAATATTATGAGTATGGCTACCGGTTATAAGTACCCTAAGTAGGAGTTATAAGTGGCTATAAGTAGAGCTACCTTAAATTATAACTTTAGCTACTACGTCCCATGACCCTCTATGTCTCTATGTAGCCTTCAGAGACTTCTGCTTGGAGTCGCCGGCCGGCGGGGCGAGCAAGGTTCCTTGGGGAGCAGGTTCTGTAAGGTGCAGGGCACCTACTGGTAGCTTAGCAGCGCATCATTAGTTGTAAGTGCCTGTCATTCTCAGTATAAAGACACCAAATTCTACAAGCCTTATAGAGAGCTTTCAAGGAGCCCTTAAAGAGGGTACGTTCGTGCATTCCGAGGTGAGCACTGGGTCATGTCATGTAGGCGAAGCGATCCTTCCTTGTTTCGGAACGCCCTGGGCGTCAGAGGAAATGGCTAGTAAGACTATTCACTCACAGTTCTTGTAATATGTGTATAATAGCACGATAGAAGTAGTTTATATCATCACTATATTATGCACCTCCCCCTCTCCCTGCCAGAACCCTTATTCCAGACAGAAGGACGAAGACATGGCTGTGTGGTCTCCAAGCCTTGAAGTCCTTGAAATCCAAGTCAGCGGGCCGAGTCATCGACTTGAAGGGGTTTAGGATGGTTTAGGTCTCAGCGGTTAGGGTTTAGGGCATGACCAGCCTCAGCAAAGTTCTAAATTTCTGGGCTTCGGTGGGGTGAGCGACAAGGGACAACATCAAGATCAAATCCCCACGCCCGCCGAGGCCTGCGCAGACTTTGCCGCCGCGCCAGGAGGACTTCAGGGAACTCGCTCGCCGCTGGGTGTTTCGGCCTAACCTGATGTGGTTCCTGTTGGCCCTCTGTTTGTTTGTTGCTGTTGCTCTTGTTGCGGTTGGTGGTGATGATGGCCGTCTCCATGGTGGTGTGCTGGTGGTGGTTGTGATGACGGTAGTCATGGCGTCTTTGTCGCCTCGTCGTCTTGGTCTTGTTGGTGGCGGTGTTCTCGCCGTTTTCGTCGACGCACGGGTGGCGTTCTCTGCTGCCTGCTGCTGCCTGCAGCTTTCGTATGGTTTTGTTGTAACGTTCCCATTCGGAAACAACCTTTCGACGTTCTCAGGCCGTTCTGCACCCTCTCCAGAACGAAGCCTGACGCAGGCCCTTGGCAGGGGAAAGGACTGGAATGTTGCTGGAGTGTCGGGCTCGGGGCAGGCTTTCGTTCCGTCGACACCACACTCATTGGGTTCATGTCGCATCCCTTGAACCGGGTGCTTGTGAGCTCCATGCCTTAGGGACGCACATCCTGAGTTGGCCCTGTAAAGGTGGGCTTGATCAACGACTCCTCATCGCACTCGTTGTTGTAGGCTTGGGGGCAAAGGGCCACGAGATCGCATGGTGTTTGCACCGCATCCAGGGATACATTTGAGGAGAGCGAAACACGGAAATCCAGACTGGCTGCAGTGCTGACCTGCTTCCGCCATGGCATTGTAGGTGGGTATCAGACGTCACCCAAAGTCGCAAAAGGTGGGCCATGTGCTTTTGTGCTCTAGCAGGCAAGGCTAGGATGTTACGGGGCCACCCACATCATGTGCACTGACTATGCAAGTTCACCTATGGCAAACAGAGAGCCGACTCAGTAAGCAGCGGAACTTAGCACTTCCAGCAGCCTCTTGAGAAGTTAGAATATAAGCAGTTTCGGATACTCCGCGTTTAGGGATGGAGGACAAAGAGGCCTTCCTCGGATTCCTGGATGCTTCCTTGCAAGTCCTCCGGAAGCATCTGGCCTCTGCGTACGACGCGAAGCTGGCGAAGTTCGATGCTTCCAGCAAGCTGCTGAGCCTGGAGGGCGATCTGAATCTCCTGGCCGAGAGGCAGAAACGGCAGAAGCCCCAAATTCCAAACCTCCTAAACCCTCTAACCCTGAGCGTAAAGCCTCAAGCCCGATGGCCCTAAAGCTTTTGGAGCCCAAAACCCGACAGACCCGACAGCCCCTAACCGACCCTAACCTGTGACTCCGTAACCCTGTAAGCTCTAGGGCCATTAAGGACTCATGTAAGGAAATCATAATATGGAACCCCAAAAAGGTAAGATATTTAAGGTCAAGGTAGACCCTGAACCCCAAACCCCTGAAACCTAAACCCTGAAATCCTAAACCCTAGACCCTGAACCCCAAAACCCTGAACTCTAAGCCCCAACCCAGCCACGGTTCAGAGGCAGCGCAGCGACTCGAAGACCTCGGTTTCGCTCCCAGCCTCCCCGAGGAGTGTGTCCTCGGCCCCCAGCAGCGTGAGGTTTCTGGGCCTTTCCTTAAGGAGTCCTACCTTTAAAGGGGACTATTTTAGGGTTCCTAGGTTCCTTTAAAGGAGTCTAAAAAGGGTTACCACAAGGGGATCTCTACGTATACTGTCTCAGTAATTCTTTACCAAAGTAGGATCTTCTACCATAATAGGGTTCTGAAGCAAATCATATGGTTTCTCTTCTGGGTTCTTTATAAAGACTCTGAGTCACCAAAGCAGTTGCTAAAAGATCCTTACGATGGTGATTGAAAATTGAATTCCTTAACAAGAACCAGGTTTGGGGAGGAGACCCACATTGAGATCGAGCATCAAAGCCATCAAAGGCCTAGTGGCTCCATCTTCCCTGAGGTGAATTTGGGGGATTTGGATGATTTAGACGGGGAGGAGGATGGCGGCGTGAGCCACGGAGACTCCTCGGCACTGCTGCAATCGGACTTGCAGGATATGACTGAATCGGAGCGGCGGATGATCAGGCATCGTCTCCGCGTGCGATTGGGCGTCGTTAGCCGGAACAAGCTCGTTTCTGGCAAGTCCCTTCACGACTCCCTGTCAGCCCTGGGGCTGACGCGATACACGGAACAGGCGACAATGGTTCATTGCTCTTGTTACTATCTGGTAGAGTTGTGCTAGGTGACCCTCCCCCTGCTGCGACGACTCTGTATCATTCCATAGGAGCTCATGAGACCCTCAGCCCAGCAGGAGATCAACGATCTAATCAACCATCTGGCGACCTTCGTGGGCCTGAACTTCGAGGAAGAGGAGGACACACCGACCTGCTGCGATGCGAAGCCTGAGCCTACAAAGTCTTGGACAATGCCGAAAGCCCCGCGCAGTTAGGACAAACATCAATTCGAGTTTTTGTGGGGTTTTTTGGGGGGCGGGAGGACAACACCTGGAGTGCGAACACCATGAACACCATCGGGAGCACCTTCGACCGATTCGACATCTTTGGGCTCCGGGGCTTCGATGCAGAGGCGGCCAAGCCCGTCTGGCAGTGGCCCAGCGGATCCCCGGCGAGCTTTAAGAAGGAGAAGTCGACCATCAGCCTCCACCGGGAGACTGAGCTCAACAGCTATCCAAGCTTGCCGTCCTATGTTGCTTCTTTTTGGCTTGAAATGAAATAAGATGAGAGTTGAGAGCTTCGGCTTATAATAAGCCAATAATATTGGGTTTCAAGTAAGATATGAGAGTTGAGAGCTTCGGCTTCTTCCTGGGTATAGGGAAGTAAGGAGAAGTCGACCTTCAGCATTTACCGGGACCCCTCGTCTCCGGACCTTCATGTGGACGAGAAGAACCTGGTGAACTTCAACGTGGTGCCGCTGGAGGCGCTCATGGACGTCTTCCTCGCGCACGAGTCGAGCATGCACCCTGGCCGCAGCGATGGGGAGGAAAGCCCAAAAGCTTGGTGCTGTCGGTTCTTGAGGAAATAAGCTGTAAGCCGCCCACTGGCCCACATCTGGGCGGGTTTGTATTGGTGCTCCGGATGTGGGATCTTCTTTCTGCACCCATCCTCCGTCAATCTTCTGTCCGGATCAAGTGCGGTTCCACCACCCAAAGCCCTCGCCAAAGATCCCTTTTCAGCCTCAAGCCACAAGCCCCAAAGAGGCCTGAGCCTAGCGACGCCCCCCCCAGATGAAACCCGGAGGCTCTGCCCCAAGAGCTTAGAAGGGGTCCTTCCTCGTGTCTGCAATGCATATGTCTGGATTTTTAGACGGTGTGAGGTTTTCTGGGTAGTAGTGAGTAGGGTTCGCGTGCCTCGAGTCCTGTCCTATGACACACATATCATTTCACAGACTGTGTGCCAGAACCCAGAAGAAACGCTGCTGGTACCCTACCGTTGACCATTTCTTTCCGAATTCGACTGGAACCCTAAAATCTACCCCAAGCCTGAAACTGCAGGCACAAGAAGATCTTCGGCCCGAAGGTTCTGAAGCAGTTTCGGGCCGTGAAGGAGATCCTGCCTCTTGGGTCTTAGCTATAAGCGGTTTGGGGTTTTCGGGGTTGAGGGCTCCGTGTGTGGGTAGTATGGAGGCTTTAAGGATGGTTCTAGGCCTTAGCTCGTTGGCTTAAGGCTTAAGGCGGATATTTAAATATATGTATACACATATATATATATATATATATATATATATGTGTGTGTGTGTAGATACATAAGGTCTGAGCTGCCCGGATGTTCAGGGCGTAAGGTTTTGGTGTATTGGTTCTTGATGGGCCGTTTAGAAATGAGCTTTAGAGGTTTTTCAGGGTTCTTGTCTAGTGGTCTGAACAATTTACAAGGCTATTCCTTCCGGTTTCGTAGTATGCCGTATACCCACCTTCTACTGCATGCTTTATATGGGTTGTTACAGGGTTTTTGCAAGGGCTTCCGATATAGAGCTCTGGGGTTTAGGACAGTTTGGTCAGTGGGTTTGGTCTGCGGAGTTGTTTAGCTGCTGTTTGGTTGCGGCTATGGCCTCCTCTACAGGGGTCCGAAATCTGCATGGTTGCTCGCTTCTCCTACCGGGAGGAGCAGGGCTTGGGGCTCTTGCAGCAATCCGGAAGGCCAAGGATCGAACCGCCGATTTGGGCTGGAGAATCAAGTTAAGACCAGAGCTGCCCCATTCAGGTTTCAGATTCCACAACACGCGAACACAAAATGGTTCTTTGGAGTTGGCGTTCAGTGGAGTTGAAATTGATTGACGCGGCTGAAGAACAGCAACAGCAACAATAAAGGCTTGCACTGATCCTACCAAACTGAAGACTTCCTACGGAATCGAAGGCTTGCCGGCGACACGAACCGTTTGGTGGCTGAACTGACCTTCGTTCGAATGTAGCTTGGCCGCAGGGGGTTCAAAGATCCCCGCAACACCCCAACCTACTAATTTGTGTCCCATTATCATCATAATTTTGACAGGCCCAAATTGGACAATTTTTCCAGAGTAATCCTATTCCCGGTCCGACTTCCCAATCTCCCAAAGAACCCGCACCCCTCTCAGACGTTGGTGGCCCCAACTGGCCCAAACCTGCCTAGTCTTTTGGCCTTCGATAGACTGATTGACAGGACATGTAACAGACGTTTGCAATCTAATTTCCCGAAGGGTCCAAGTAATGGTATAGTATATACTTTGGGGGCAAAAATACCTACTATACTGGTACTTGGACCCTTTGGGTTTAAGTACACGGAACTTGTGACCTGGGCAAGCCGATTCAACATGTACAAAATATCAAAGCATTGTCTTTAGTCTTCTCCGAAGCAAAAAATGTAAAACTTAGAGAGCTGCATTCATCCCCACCAAAGACTGCTAGGATCCTCTGAATCACGGCAGTGTGCAATACACGAATCCCCGGATGCCATGTCGTTGTCCTTGCAATTCTGAATCCCGCCAAATGCTACAAACACGCCAAACACGGAGGACACCAGAAAGTGCTCGTGATAGTGTCTGCAACGTTGAACCTTGCCAAATGTGCAACGGTGCGGTAGGCTACCTATCCCAAAAGCAAGTCTGAATTCTCAAAATTTGGGACGTTTGACACGCATCCTTCTTCGTTCTTCCACGAGCTAAGGAATGATCTCGCCGTTCCCTCGGAGCCTATTCACATCCTGCTCTATTTGGAGCCTTTAATCGCGTTAATCATTATCGCCAACGGCATCTCCATCGGAATTCAAACAGATCCCATGTATGAGGGCTGGCCCTACTGGATGTACGTGGAGCTTGGCTTCGTAGTGCTTCTCTCCATCGAAAACCTGACCCGCACCGCTGTGCTTGGCTGCCGTGACTTCTGGTGCGGGGCCGAACGCGGTTGGAATTGGTTCGATTCAATTGTGACAGCCATTGGTATCGCAGACGTCTCCTGGCAGCTGCTTGCCACAGATTCCCCGGACATCGCCGGCACCTTGCTGCTCCGCTGCTTCCGCCTCGTGCGCCTGGCCCGGGTCGTGCGTGTCTTCCGCTTGAAGATCATGTCCGACCTCCGCCTCATGGCGCCTCTGCGACAAGCTTCGACGACAACTAGGGCTCCTATAAAGGTATCATTTGAGGGCACTGAAAGGGCTATAGCAGTCAGAGTCTGGCGTTTTCACTGAACGTAGTTTACAGCGATGACGGTGTAACCAGGTTAGGGGACTCGTTGCCGGCATCTGGACGCTGGCGCTGGCGTTCTGCCTACTCTTCGCGGTCCTGTACCTCATCGCAGGCCCGAACTTCATGAGCTCATCCTCTGCTCATCACAGTCTGCCATATAGGGGTCGGAATAGTGACCAAATGCTACGTACACCCAAGGCCCGGCTCCCTTAAAGTCACCACCTCTTGAAGCCCCACAATTTTTGGAATTTGGGTTTGGGGTTTATAAACCGTCAAGGTTCTGGTCTAGGGCTACGGAGTGAAGAGTGCAACAGTGTAATTTTGCTACGATCAGAGCAACCCGGGAGTGCGAAATTCCAAAGCCTACCTTAACCCAACATCTGCCGCGCACCCTGACCTTGATACGAACCGTAGAAGCCCCTGAACCTTCTAAGCCCTAACTCCCAAACCCTGGACCCTCATAGTCCCTAATGACGCCCTCGTCCCTGGAAGCCCTAAACCCGAAACCCTGAACCTTCTGACCTTATACTTAAAATTATAAGCCTTCGACCTCTAAGCTCCGAACCCTGAACCCTCATAATCCCAACTAGGCCCTCGTCCCTAGAAGCCCCAAAGCCGAAACCCTGAGCCATTTATGACGCCTTGTACTTAAGATTATGAGCCTTCACCCCTAAGCTCCGAAAAGGCCTGGCCTCCTTCACCATTGGCCGGGATAGTCGGATGGCAGACCTTGGCATGGAGGATCTGCGCTCTTGCTGAGTTTAGCATTTAGGGCACGGGTAGGCTTTATAGGAATTTTTGGGGGGGTTGTGGGACTCTTGGGGAAAAATGCTGTAGGGTTTTGGGCTGATAGGGCTTAGAGGACATATGGGGTTTACGTCTGTTGGGGTTTATGCTACATTCAGCGTTCCTGTCCGCCATAACGGTTCTAGGATGTTCTAGGAGTTTTGTTGGTGTACAGGGGCGCAGGGCTGGGATGTCCATGGTTTGGGATGTGAAGGTTAGACACTGTTAGCCATCTATGCTGTTACACATAGATGGCTGAGGGCCCGAAAGCTTTTTCAGGCAGTTGGAGAGCTGTAGTGAAGGAGTATTTAGAGAGGGCTGGTAGGATGGAAGGTTGCACGGTGTTACAGTTCTGTTGGGTGTGGGGCTTTGGATGGATTGGAGTGTGTCTGAGGCATAGATGGTTTGTGGTTGGGCGGTTGTGGTTTGCAAGTTTGCAGCTAGTGCGAGGGCACGCCATTGCTGGCATCATTGCACGACTTTTGGCAACTTAGGTTTTACAACATCCCCTGGTCCATGTTTACTGCCTTTCGCTGTTTCATCGGCGACTGTAACACCATGACTGGGGAGCCGATTATGCTGGTCCTCGCCGAGCAGTTCGGAGTGGTCTTTGTTTTTGGCTACGTTTGCAGCTACATGCTGGTGGCCATGGGCATTTTCAATGCCCCCTGTTTGCAGCCAAGAGTTGGCTCGCTGATATGGGAGTGTTCGGCTCAGCTTTGTGAGATGTGTGAACATGTGGATCATATAGAGGCCTTAATAGTTGCCTATACTACTTTGGGGTTGCTCATAAAAAGTGTGGTAGCCCGACCCCACCCCGAACCCCACCGAGTTTGCAGTTTCGGCCGGGTTGCTTGGGTTTCACTCGAAGTGAAGGGTTTCGGGTATCGTCTTTGCAGGGAGGGCAGAAGATTTTTTCGGCATTGCACTATGTGCTTGTTGTACTCGCGCAAGAGCAGATGATTAATCCGATGGAACTGACGGCTCTCTGTTTGTCAGTGCAAGACGGTTGACGGATTCCACCGAAGGGTTGTCGGTTTTGAAAGATCAGGACTCGTGTTTGTGTAAGGTGGTGACAAGTGAGGGGTGTTCAGGTTCAGGCACGACTGACTAGATTGAGTAACAAATGGATCTTCTTCCGGAGTGGAACTGTTTTCCAGCATTTTCTGTTACACACTTGATGAGGTAATTCTTGCCGTCTACGTGGACATCACAATGCGGGCTGCGAAAGAGAACGACGCTGTCACTGCAGAGCAGTACAACCGTGAGTCCATACGAATCGCCCGTGCAACCCGAGAGCTACTGAAGAAATTCGCAGCTGCTTATCATGTTTTCCACGTAATCGAAGATCATGCAGCTGATATTTCGCGCTTGGAAATCAGCCACGGGGCAACTCTGTTTACCGACGACGAGATTCACGATGATGTCGCCATTACCAAAGAGCTCTTCTTTCTGGTTATTCAAGATCCTGCGGTGCAGGCCCGAAGCTCCAACCGTTCCGGCCCGTCCACTACGAAGACGGTAAACTGATTTTAATCCCCTGCTCCCGTGCCAAAAGTGCATGCCCCATCTTCCAGCCCTAGCGCTTACAATAATGCCCTAAACTGTAAATGGATTAAAAGTTGCAGAAAATAAGGAGCCGCAACATAGGCACTAAGTAGTAGGGTCCTTTTTCTATTAGGACTCCTACTTGCAAGAATGCCACCCATAGAGGCCTTGATGGATGAGCTCGACCTTCCGCCGAACCGCGCGCAGCTCTTTGAAGTCATCGATTCAGATGGAAGTGGCACCTCGGGAAACAGAAAGTAGGTTCAGGGTTTAGGCTTGAGGGTGAATGATTTTGAGAGGGCGGGTCCTTTGTTGTGAGGGGTCGGGGTTTCGGCATCCATGCAGCATTTGGCAGGTCCTGGTGTTTGCGGTCTGTAAGCATCCCTGGGTTTTTGTTGGCTCGTACCAAACCCGCTGTGAACCTGGGCTTGGATAGTTCAAGGGCCTCCAAGGGCGTAAAGCCGAACACAGTTGCCCTTTGGGGTCGCTCTCGGGTTGCAGGGTTTCGGCCTCAACGTCCACCCCTGATCAATAAACCCTTCTCCCTCAACGAAGATTACCAGAACTATATTGAAACATGATGGGCCTTGCCTACGGCATCGAAAGGGGGGTTTCTTATCAGGCAGCTATATCAAGCTTTGAGGAGCAAGGCCGACTGAGGCCGAAACCCTTCGGCATTGCGTTGAACCCAACCCTTATGGTTTGAAGTTACTTCTTTGGGGCCACGGTTTGAAGGGTTTAGGTTTTGGGTCTAGGACGTGGAAAAATCCGCTTTCGCAGCCGCATGATACACTGTAGGTCCCTATAAGGGTCCCCCTGATTCAACACAAGCTCAGCCCTGAACATGAAGCCCTGACTCCCAAACCCCAACCCTTCAATCCGATAGGAACAGCTAATGGTAAGCGTTTGTAGTCGCATAAATCATGGTAACCCGTCTAGTCACCCTTCGAGCTTCCCTATTCGCTGAACCCTGCAGCTCAAGAGCCTGTCAAACCCTAAACCCCAAGACCCTAAAGCCCTAAACCCTGTACCCGGTACCCTACACCCTCCATGAAGCCCTAAACCCGTAAACCCTGTGTACTTGGAGGATCATGGGACTTAGCAAGTAGGTTATAATTGGGGTTATAAGTCCCCTAAGTGAGGTTATCCTAATTATAACCCACTTATAACCTTACTTACTAAGTCCCATGAGCCTTTAAGTAGCTACTTCCTTGTCCAAGGTACCCTCCACATCCAAGAGTTGGTCCAGGGCTTGTTGAAGCTGCGAGGGGAAGTCAACAAGGCCCTTTTGAAAGTTCGTCATTAACGCGTGTAGGGTTTAAGAGTTTAGGGGGGTTTAGACGTTCTTGTGGGCCCTGGTTTTGGCAAGTGCTCCAGGATTTTGGAGTTTGGGAGTTTGGGACTATGGGTTTTGGACAGTTTGGGCGCCACTACGAAGCACCCAGACCTTCCAAAATCCCTCAATTAAGGAATATACCTTAAATTGTATTGAGGATCCTACTATAATTTAAGGGATATTCCGAGGAGCAGGTAATCATGTGCATCCCGAAAAGTGCTAGCGTAGCCCAAAGCCTGAAGTCTGAAACCTCAGGAGATCCTAGTGGAAGCAACGGGCTCCTTAAAGGCCCTACAAGAAATATGGGAGTTTCCGAAAATAGGGGACCCTAATATAGTACCCTAGGACCCTAATATAGTACCCTAAATAGTAGGACCCTTATTGTACGGACCCCCAAATAAGGAACCCCTCATTGTCGGAAACTCCCATATTTAAAGGAGGAAACAAGCGTTGGGTTTTACATTAGGGTTGAGTGCAGCAGGAACAGGGCTTCTATCGCCAAGTCCTGCACAAGAACTCTCAGAAATGGGAAGTTCTTGCACAAGCCGGGATCTCGACTTTCTCCTAGAGCCTGAAGCTTGAGACCCAAGGCCCGAACAACCTGAGAACAGCTGTCCTTCCAACTGCACTCCCCAAAGGGTCCTATGGGTACTGTTATGGGGGATACTTCCCTAATTCATACTAGTAATTCCTAAGATGGAAACCCTACATTCTACTATATCGGTACATTGGACCCTTTGGGCCCAAGTAACTCTGAAGCCACTAGATCCCTAAATCCCTGCAGCCCTGACCTTGTAGAATCCCTTGTAGAACCCGTATCGCTTCCGG